TGAGTTCATTGTTATTATTAAGAAATACAAGAAATCAAGAACCGAATAAACAAAATTTAAAAGTCATAAATCTTACCTTGGACACATACCACCTCTGTTGCACTTACTGCATCAAAAACAGATATGGCATTGCCTTTATCTGAGCCAGATACCACATATTTGCCATCATGGGAAATATTACATGAAGTTACGATGCCTTCATGTTCTATTGTCCACTACAAAGAAAAGAAAGGCTTTTGGAAACACGCTTGAGGGTTAGAGATAAGAGTCTTTAACAGCGCTTGCTTTAATCTCTAAGTAGGCTCAGAAGAAAGGAGTTTGGTATTACTTTATTTTAGCAAAAGGTGATAGAAGTATTTATATCCAATTCTATCTTTAAAATAGCAGTAAGTTTAAAATTAGACAGGGATACCCCGTTCAAATCCTAAAATGTTAATTCAATCAGTCTAACATATCCTCTGAGACAGATTATTACTATTACAGCCATTTTTATCTGAAATAACTGAGACATCTTCATCATCAAGGGACTTACTGTGATCAAACAATCAGACTAAAACCTAGACTAAAAATCAAGCCTGCCTACCCTGACTGTAGTGCATTGTGCAAAGAATGCTTTTGGTTTTTTTGTTCTTTGTCAATAACTAAGGAATGCAACTGAATTTTACAGTTACACTTTCTTGAGGATGCACTCAAAAGGATACATACAAGCACTTTTCCTGTTTCCATATCCCAGGTCTTGACAGTGTTATCATAGGATGATGTCACCATCCTAAAAATGACCATGAAAACAGCATTCAGTGTTCTCACTCAAGAGAAGATATTTGAAAATAAATGCTAACTTTTAATTCTGACAATGATTTGACATCCTCACACTCATTACTTCAAAAAAGATTTGTAAGCACTGCAGCAAAAATTGCCTTTTGCAGTTTAAAATATGTAATTATTTATATTTCAGATATAAACTACAATAAAAATGTCACGTATGCAATTTTCAGACACTGCTCTGCCAAACCCACATTACACAACAAAGCTAACTGATGACAAGTGGCAGGTTTCCACGAATGAGGAGGTCACCACCAAGTTTGCTTTCACATTGTTTTATTAGAATATTTCCAAATATCTAAAAAATAGCATTTATATGGAACGTCACAGTATAGGGCAAATGTTTTTAGTCCCATTGTGGCTTTTCCAGTTTTTTATCAAGTTCACAAAAGGTCACTTTCACAAATTTTGCCCAGGAAGCTTCATGCAAACTAAAAATAAATTCTCAAACCTTCTATTCTTCTCATTATGCATATGTTTCCTTCACTTGCATGATCTCTGCTCCTAAATGGAAGCACTTAGCACAAGAGATAACAAGAAGATAATGAACTGGTGACATTTTTGGTTGGGAGGCAGCAGGCAGAATGGCACATATGCAATCCCATGGTCAAAAGGAGATTAGACAACTCTTTAATTTGATAAAAATTGATTTAAACTACAAATTAATGATAAAACGTAGCAGAAATAATACCCCTGGTGGCAATGTATGACCTACTCAATCAAATGTTAGTGCACGCTGCAGTTGTTTTAATTATTATAGCCAGAGATTGACACTAGGTAAGATGCATTTCTTCTTAAATTGACATTACAGGCTTAATGGAAAGCATATAGATTATTAATAAACAATACAGAACTTTTATGACCATATAAATCTCACTGACAGATGAACCCCTGTGCTTCAATGTTGCTCTTCTATGCAATACCTGTTTACACACTCCTTTCAGAACACAAGCCACAGACTTCCAGCCACAAATAACTCACAAGCAGCAAATTCCTTTGCCCTGCAAAGGTCATGACTTGGACTATTCCTTCAGTGGCCACCAAATGAAAACCAAAAGACTTGCACGAACTGTAGGGGAAATCAACTGGAGATGAAGGAGTCTGGCAGTGAACAGGCTGCCAGACTAAGACAAAGGAATAATGAACAGAAAATGAAGCAAAAGAAGTTTCACTTTGATGAAATAGAAAACCATAGGAACAACTGAAGAAGTAACTGATCTGTTCCAAATTTGTCTGATGTTTTCCACATGCAATCACATTTAACCTTGAAAAATCACATTGTCTCCTTTTTTAAATAAATTGTGATAGAAAATAGTCACCTTCTATTGTCAGGACTCAAATTGCATTCAGAAACTGGGGCTGTGTGTTCTTCAAAAATTTGAACAGGAAATCCTTTGGCAACATCCTTGAATAAATCCAGAAGAGTTTGATTGGGAAGTGCTTTTTTTGTGAAAAAATACACAGCACCACAAAACCAAAGCAAAATAAAGCTTGCGAAATAACGTTAGCCTTACGTGTGTGCCTTACATGTTTTATCTAATCTAGAAATACAAATGAAAACTTATTTCTGTGTATTCTAAATTCAATTGTGAATGTTGTGTTCAAAGCACGAACAGCCAATCTCATCAGTACTGCCCACCCAAGTGTTGCCTCGTGTTTCAAGAGCATGCCTACACACCAGCCTGGTCCAGGCACTGGTGCCAGGACTTTTTGTTGTTTGTACAAAAACAACCAGAGGTCCATTGTTGGGCTCCTGTGTACTGCAGTGATACAGATGAAGACTAATACTGCAAAAAGGCCAAGATCCATCACACTGACCAACATTTCACTCCTTGCTCATTTGTACTCTGCCATCTTCCTCTGTGAGGAGGCAACTTCAAATTCTTTACAAAATATTCCACCTATCAGTAGTCAAATCATATTAAGACATCACCATAACAGATTTTTTTTTAATTTGCTGTTGTGCTCACAACATACCCAGAGCTTCACTGTTCTGTCATAAGAGCATGAAAGTACTTTTGAGTCTTCACAGCAAAAATGGCAGGAACTCACAGTATCGCCGTGCCCTCTTAGAATTTTAAATTGAATCTGTAAGCAAACAGAGCAAAGTTTAGGAAATCTTCTTCGCAACCCTTGGGGCAGCCACCTCCACGCAGTGGAGCACGATGCAGCAGCAGAGCTCTGTATGGAGAGGTCAGTCCTGCTCTGGCACTGGGCTGCAGCTGCTCGAGATGGTCACCGCCTGGTGGAGAAAAGAAGGTCGGTGGATTTGATTCTTATTTTCTGGAGAGAAAGGGCAGGGTTGTTTTCTTTTGTTTATTTTTCCCAGTTTCTCTCAAGCAAAGCAATATTTATTTTTAAATCTCAAAAGTCTCTCTCAAGTCTTTCAAAAATCTTTCTGTGTTTCGGTGATTCTGGCCAATGGAGAGGCAGTGCCAAAGGCCTTAGGGCTGTGCTGTTTAGCCACGACCACGAGTTGTGTGAAACACTCTCAGAAAGCCTTTCTTCAGTCACTGAGCGCCCACCACAAGCCTGTGTGAACCAAGCCACCAAAAAACCCAGCTGCCCCAAGCATTGGTGCTGAGCTTTCAGAAGCCCTGACCAGCACTCTGCCAACGCTCCCGTCCTCCCAACAGCCCCAACTTCCCCTTCCCAGCCCACCTCTGCCATTTGCTCCTGGTCCTCCCCGAGCCCCTCAGCCGGGGACATCTCGGGCTGGGGCTCAGGCAGTGGCTCTATGGCCAAGGGGTCCCCACGGCTGCCCCCTGCCGCCATGCTGCCCTCTCAGCCTCAGGCTGCGCAGTGGCGGGAACGCAGCCCTGAGGCCTGGCTGCACAGTGTGGGTTTGCTCTGTCACAGCTGTGCTGGTGCAACGCAGGGTCTGTTTTATATCTTCCTTGCAGCGGAGGCAACCTCAACGCCTCAGATGTTTTTTCTCCCCTCCACCGGTGTTCTTGTTGGCTTTATTTTAAAAACCATGCATTCTGCAATTCACCACACAACAGTTAACCACCTCGCTCTAATCAAGAGCTGCTGTAAAGCTGCAGATACCTAAAGACACACCTGAAGTCAGACACGAAAGAACTAGTACCTACAATAGAGGATTTCAGTGAAGGGTTTTGTCTGTAAGTTTAGACAAGGTTGTTCTGGAGTCCTTATGCACCTGGGAGCTGAGAGGCTGCAGGTCTACTTAACAGCTTGCTGGGTCGTAGCTTACATTAATACTGCAAGCTGTACTTTCTAAATGTACCGCATGAAATAAAAGTAGTGTTTTCATTGTGAATACATGTAATAGCTGAATAATGCAGTTTATAATTATAGTAGTAATGTATTAAAGCTAATACAGCCTTTATTTCGGTAAAACTGACAGCTTAATGGTTTAGGTCTGCTATGACAAATGCTATACGTACTTGGGAGATGTTCCAAGTCCAGTTACAGCCAGATGCTGGGAAAATGCGACCTTTCTGCATTAGAAAGGTTAGAAGAAATAAAAAACACACACAATACATATTTTACATTACTTCAGTTTTTAAGTCCCTAACTTAATTCCAACAAACATTTGCCCTTCAGAGTGAAGGGAAGAGAGAACGGTTGGAAAAGACCTTCGAAAGACCTGATCTCTTCAGGGCTTACCAAAGTTTAAGGCATACTATTGAGGGCACAGTCTCTGAAACACTGGCAGACACAGGGAACCAGCCACCTCACTAGGTGCTGACTGTGTCTGACCACCCTTGTGGCAAATAAATTTTTCCTAATGCCTTATGTAAACCTCCCCAGAACTTCCTGCCATTCCCATACTTCTTGAGATATTGAAGTTTTAGAGGTCTGAGGTTATGACTTGCTGTACAAAAATGATTTGTAATACTTGGTTTATTAAAATATCTTGCTTCATATTAATTAAAACAGAACCTGCAGTATTTAACATTATGTTACACAGAAGAGGTCTTTTTCAACATTCCATAATCATTACATTTTAAACATATGAAACATCACAAAATAAACATATAAACATTTACTTTCAAACAAATTCAATATGAATACGTTATCTACAATGCTTCAAAGCATATATACAAGACTGATCTACCATCACGGAGGAGATCAAAAATTTGAGATCTAAAAACCACACACAGCAATGAAGAAAGATGCCTCTTCAATATTGAAGTTGTTTCAATCTAAAAGAAAGAAAGACAAGGAGGATAAACTAAATAGTCATATACATCATTAAGAATATTTAATTACTTGAGAAGTTAAACCTTAAATTAAGAAAGATCAATGACTTTGGATAGAAGCACTTTATCTCAGTGCTCAGCAAATACAAACACTTTCAAATTATCAGCTTGTACAATGAAGTCAAACTACTCTGTGTAAAACACACTCAAACACGTTTTGGCTATCTACATAATCAAAAATACCACCTTGTTATTTAATACAAAAAGACAAATACTTAACTGAAGCTCAGCTCCAAAAAAATGGAAGACAGACTCCTTAGGAATCCTGACTTTTCCTGTTGGTACATTTCCACTCCACAAAATAGCTAGATGACAGTAATTTTGCCAGGACAGCTGGATGCAATACCTCAACCAACACATTCAGACCTCTCTGCCTGCTAATAGGAGGCTCAGCATAATCCAATGCAGTGACAGTTCCACATGAGATGACAGAGGCTTAAGATGACTACGATCTCAACCCGATGCAGTTAGTTTTAATTGCATTTCAAGTGTGGAGCAGAACAAAGTTTCAAACTGTTTTTTTCTTATTTTCACATCCCAGGTAGCACTGTGTTCAAGTCTCTCTCTCTGTACTCTCTATTTATATAAATAAACAACAGTTTAGATTTAGCAGAAACACACATGAAAAGCATCATTCTCCTTGCTTCACTGCTCCTTGCTGAAGTGCAGAATCATCCCAAGTATCAAAGCCATACAGTGAATCTATCTGGCCTCTTGGTGATTATCAACAAAATAAAGCTGACTTAAAACATTCTGGAGCAGACAACATTGCTTCCAACATTTCCAAGTAAAGACTGTAGACAAAGTCACGGAAATATGACTCACCATCTGCACTTCTTTAATTTTTAATTCCTTCAAAATATCATTCATCTGTAACCATAAACCCCATTAACTAGCACAGAGCTGTATTTAGAGCCTTTTATCTCTAGAGGCTTAAGACACTTGCAACATTTCCTCTCTTCATTAAACAAACTAACAGGCTTTATAAACATAGAGAGACCTGCTGATCCATATTTGCTATGAATAAGTTTACTGAACTGCAAACTCCTATGTTGAGGTTTCAGTTATATACTGCAAAATTCACAAGTATTTCAGTCAACTTTCTATTTACCTTCTCAGAAGTTCTTTAGGTGACAGGTTTGTGGAATCTATATCACTAAGGCTATCACTACTGTCTGTAGTATCTGAGCTGCTGTCCTTTTCTGATTTTTTATTCTTGTGTTTTCCTTTGGTTTTGTGTTTCCTGTGTTTCTTTTTCTGTAAAAAGAAAAACAATTCATTCTACAATTTTCATTTTGAAAGAGCTGGTTTCTTCTGAAAGGCACTAACAACAAAAAAGCAAACATCCCTAAAAGTCAATTTCATTGTAGACTCCACATTCAATTGAAACGCTCAACAGTGACTGCTTTTTGGCACTATCTAGCCTGAGCTAAAAATTAAAAATAAATGCCAAAACTACTCATCTCTTTCCAACTCTTAAACCTCATCAAAATAGATGTTTGATTAGTAGTTTATATAGAAGTTGTGAATTATACACAGCTCTCAGAATATGCCTGACATCTTCAGCATAAAACATAATGTTTAATGTCTGTACTCACATTGTACAAATGGGAAAAGCAGCACCCTAGCTAAATAATGTCCTGTTTTCAAATTCTAGTCTGAGATCACCTGAGAAACCTCAGTTGTTCCAATTCAGACACATTTGATTCATTTTCTACAGCATGGCATAAATCACAAGAAAATTTGATTGTTAGATCAAAAAACCAATAAACCAATTATTTTAATTAAATACCTTTTCCTTTTTATGCTTGTGATCCCTCTTAGTCTTGTGTTTCTCTCTGCTCTTTTTATGTTTTTCTTTCCTGCTAGGCCCTGGAGAAATTGCTGGCACCACTGTTTCTTGTTGCCATGTAGAGCCTAAAGTACAAAGCAAATGCAGAAACAAAAAATACAAATACAAACAATACTGAAAAGGTCATTTTAATATTTAAATTCTACATTAATTTAATATGCTAATTCAAAAAAAGCTTTCAAACAGGTGTGAAATGTGTAAACTCCTAACTGCAATGTTCCCACTGTAACTAAACACCTTTTCAATCTGTTAATAAGGAAATTGTAATGCTCATCCTGTATCTCCATTACAGTTCATAAACCCTGCCTCTATGGAACTACACCAAAGCAAGCACAGGCAAAAAGATTCCTGCTAGTCCCTCACAGCTTGGTAACAAAGCGTGTGGACACGTCTGACACAGCACAGGCACTTAAAAGGCAAGGCACTGCTTCACAAACATTTACTGAAGATGTATGTATGATATTTCTCTTTAACGTGTAGAATTCATACGCTACAAGTCTACAGAACCTACCAGAAGAAAAAGACGGAGGCAGCTTCGGTCCAAACTCCTCCGCATTATTCTGCTCCTGCTTCGAAGGAGGCAATGAAGAAACACCAGGCTCAGCTTTAACAGTCACAGTGTCTATGAAAAAAACAAAAAACTCATTTATTTGAAAGGAAATACTTCTTTCAAGAATTATCAGAGAAAGTTAAAGCAAACTGATCAGCATCCTTTATCTCTGTGGACTGCCTGGGCCAACTGCATAGCTGACATCCTGAATGATTTCCACGTATTGCCTCTACTTGTTTTTGTTTGTTTGCTTTGTGTTTTCTTTTCTTTTTTTTTTTTTTTTTTCTTTTTTCTAACCAAAATAGACCTATTATACAATTACAAATTAGTTCAGAATATAGCACTGTCCTAGCAGTCCCAGAAGTACTTGATTCATAAAGGAAGCTTTTACAAGATGCTTGTAAAAATAGGCATGCATTAAGAACTACCTTGTATGTTAGATGAAGAACTATCAAGCAGACCAGCTTGTCCGGTGGTTTCTGAATCTACTACTGAAGTAGAAGGCTGCTGTTCTTCATCACTCTCTTCCTCCTCAGAGGAAGATTTTTCATCTGAGGAACTCACAAAGATGGCCTTAAATAAGTCCATGGACGGTCTGCTTTCTTCTTCCTGTTCCTGATCCTTATTCTCATTATCTACCTGCAAAGCAGTGTAACAAACTACATTTAGACACCTAAAGAAACTAAAAATCCCTCTCTGATTAGTTAAGCAATATAATAATTTCAAATATGCTGGGATGTATTGACTGAAGAATCAAACATCACATAACATAAGCTTCATCACAACAACAAAGACATCACAAACACATAAGTTTACAATCTTAGTAATTCTTAGTTCAATCCACTGAAGCACTGCTAAGCTCAGTTTCCTGTAAAGAGTACTGAAATTTGTGCTCCATGCACAATTGAAAGCAGATTCCAAATTATTATAAATTCTAATTCATTACTTCAAACTTTACTTACCAGAGTGAATTCATTAAAAAGGAAAACATTACCTGTCTCTACAAAGTATGCATCCTCCTCCTCAAAGCAGAAGACACATATATATCCTGTGCCTGTGAGCAAAGTGGATGCACTGAACTTAACTCCCAGACTGTGAGTGACATTTTATCTATCCCTAAGCTGTTTCTTCAAATATAGCCATACTTACTATCCTTGTAAACCGTGAAGTTTCACATCTCAGATTTATAACCTCAAAATTCTTCCAAAATCAATCTCACTTTCTTTTTCCTTACCCTGAGTTGGCCCTTTGGCAAACTAATTTTTATTAAACCAATTCATACAGTACACAACATTATTTCCAAGGTTTACAGTCATTCTCCTTTATATTCCAACACCACTAAGAACCCACCTCGCTGGGAAGTGTTTCAGCTGCCTTTGTTTCACTTTCTTCTGTTGTTGGCACTGCTGGCTTCTGCATAAGATCAGCTTTTGATCTGGCAAGACTGATGAATTCACTGATAGAATCTTTTTTCTCCTTCTCTTTATCTGATACATCCCATCTTGAAGGTTTCTTTGGTTCTAAGAAAGTCCCAAACATTCAAATCACTCACATGTCAAATTCTACTGCATTGCATGACCTACTTGATTTTAATTTAGTCTGCTTCTTCAGCCTGCTTTGATTTTTCTATCTTTTTAATGAATATCTGACCTACAAAGGTCTCCTAGGTGGAATAAATTAACACCATCTCACTGACTTCAGCTTTTATGTTTGAATGGAATGTATTGGATATATTTATTATTTTTGATTTTTATACCGGTTTTTCTTTTATGAAAAAAAATCTCGGATAAATTCATTCTCTGTAACAAAGACAACCATTTTCATTTCATTTTCATTACTTCACAGCTATGTAATTAAAAAAAAAAACACCAAAAACTGACTTACTGCTCACACTGTTATTCTCTTGTTTTCTTTCATTTGTTTCCTGTGTAACAGATGTAGTAGGCTCAGACAGAGTTAAGAAATTAAATACAGAATACTTGTCCCTCTTCACTTTTGGTAAACCAACAATGGAAGACCTGCAGGGAAATAATTTTTTTTTTTTTAAACACTGTTTTCCATGCACAAATTAACTACAACAAACTACAGTAATACTTAAAATATTATTTTGTCAGAAGCTATTTTACTACGCTTCATAAGGCCAATTAAAACATTAGGAGAGTCTATCATACATCTATTGCAATACAAAAAGAAAACATCAAGCCAGATTTTTTCCACATTAATATAAAAACTCAGGATTCCCAAGGAGTGTTCAAAAATTTAAGAATTTCTTAATTAATCATCTTACTCAGGATATGGATCAGGAACATTAAATCTTTTGCACAACAGCTTTTCAGGGTGCCATTCAAACTTGTCTCTTGTGAGTTTGCCAAACATCTTCATCTTCACAGCAGATTCCTTATCATCAATATCATTCTGAAAAAGTCAAACACGGTCTGCTAGATAACTAACAACTTGGTGAATTAACTATTACTGTTGGCACATTAACATGGTAGATAAACATTTCAGCACAGTTTAACAGATCACTGCTTTACATGCATCGAGTCTTTTCGAAGTTTACTTAACAGGCAACAAAGCATTACTGACATAATGACAAAAGAGTTTTAAAGAAAAATACTTTTGTAAAGCAGCGTTAAAGTAATAAACGTAGCTCCGAAGTACTGAAGCACTGTGACAACATATACCTCCTGGTCCCGGGGAACTTCAACTTTGTCAGCATCATCTTCATATTTGGCCCGGGTAAACCTGGATGCCAGCGCCGAGTTGGAGGACTTGTAGAACATCGCTGCACGGAAGAATTCCTCCTGTTCTCTCCCTCGCTCCCATTCAGTCATGCTTGGGTCTAAGTAGCGCTCCAACGTATCTGCTGTAAGGTAAAGAAATACTGAAGGCATGAAACCTTACCTAAGTTTGATGCTTTTCAAGAAAAAGAAAAAGAAAAAAAAAAGGCAATCAACCCTGCAAGTATTTCATGAATATTTATTTTAAAGATAGTATTAATCTCAACTGTATTTTTCCTTGACAAGTAGAGAGTTTTTCACAACAGCAAGAATGATTTGCTAAATGCAAGACAGATGTTTTAAACAATTTTACTTGTTATGCTCTTTACTTGTTGCTTTTTAATACTTCATTTATTTAATAGGTGTTTAAATTCAAAGCTTCATCAAATAATTAAAACATAGAAGAAGCAAAAACAAAAAATACTCTTTCAGAGAAAACTAAAAGTGTCAGGATTTCTCCCTTCAGTTACCTTTTTCTCCTTGTTTAAGGCTTTTTACAAAACTTTCATATCTTTTTTGTTTTTCTGGATCTCTTGCAAATGGCTTGAAGTCACTAGAACCAGCATTTGCTAACATTTGTCCCCCCAACAACATTTGCCATTTATGAGAAGCATCGTTTGGGGAGGCTGGCTGGAATCTGCTATTTCGGGGCTGCTGAGGCAACATTTTTGCTTTCATTTGTTGTTCAGATGCTTGTTTTACTTCTTTGAGTCTTTCTCTGTCTTTTTCAGACAGGTATTCCAAAACAGAAGGAGCTGGACCTATGAACCAGAAGTAGAAGTGAGAGATAAGCGAAAAGGAAGAATTAGTTCAATTATTTCTGACACTTCAGTGGAGTAGAAAGCCTGTGTATACACAGAAAATGCTCTTTGCAACACAATATAATGGCAGAAATAGCAGATGGATACTATTGGTCACTGCTTCATCTTTTAGGCTATTTGCACATATTTATATTGCTTCATAATTTTTATTATTGTATATAACACAAGTAAAATGTACAAGTTACATTAGAACAATGTTCAAGCCTGGACCAAATTTTTACTGCTATAGGAACAAACTGTGGAGCTAAAGAAGCAGGAAAGGCACAACTGTATGTATCAGTACCTTTCAGAACAGTCTCTCCTAGTTGTTCCCTCCTCTGAGACGCATTCAATGCGTGCCTGCCCTGTTGTGCGGCGTCACTCCCCAGTTTTCCAGTTGATTCTTCTAACACCTTTTGCAAATGGCAGTTCTCATTCCCAGCTGCTATTACAGGCCGAAAGTAATGGACTGGTCTGTAATTTCGTGGCAGATGAGGTGGCAGATAAATCTTTACAGATTTACGACGTAGTGGAAAACAAAACAAAACAAAACACAAGAGCGAGATAAAACTTGGTATTAAACTTTTAGAAATGGGATTGAGAAATGTAACCTCAAACTAAAAACTCCTCAATTTACAAGTAACAGTAGAAAGAGACACCACATTCTTTCAGACTGAATCAGTGAGTGGCACTGTAATACAAACTTCTGGAACAAATTGTTGTTGTCAGTACACATTAGTTATGCAAAATAGAAAAACGTGCACATCAAGCAGCAGCAAAAATTCAGCAGTCTTAATATCATTGCTTTGTTTGAGAACATGTGCTTCTGATTATATTTTTAAAAACAGAAGTCTCATATGATTTGGTCAATTAAACTGTTGTGTACTTCTGTGCTTAATGTATTTTCCTGTCTTTCATCAGAGTTCTTTTTCTCCATTCTTCATGCAAGCTATGACTTCAAAGATTACCCCTCTGCCTCTTATAGAATGCAATTTTCTATACCATACAAATGTTCCCCCTTTCTGCATCAGCAAAAGGACCTTGTCACACAACTCTGATAATCATTCTAATTTATGGAAACACTCGTGGCATACAAGATACAAAGCAAAGAATCAGGTTGACAAACTAGCTTGTAACCAAAAACAATGAAGGAGACAAAGTGTGCAGCCTGATTTTTACAAAAAAAAATGGACATTACAGCTGAAAGATGTAAAACCAGATGTACATTTTTATTGTGAAGTTAAATCAAATTATTCTTCCAACTTCATGCAAAATAACAGTGAATGCATTTGTTCAAAGTCTGAACATGGGCAAAATTTAAATTTATCCAGTAGTTTGACATTTTTGTTTAGTCAGAAATCTTTACTGCTTATTAGAAGTTCCATTTTGAAGAACTTAAAAAAGTATCACACCACAGTAAAATCCATACATTTCATTACATGTCAATTTTGCTTTGAATGTTATTCTTACTGCAAAAATGTCATTATATGCTTACCTTGTTTGGAGCTGATGGCTTTGATGCCAAGGAAAAGCCATCCAAGATTTTGCCTATATATTTCACTTCTGTTTCAGACCCTGCAAAAATAATCACAGAGCTGGTCAATATTCAAAATACACACATTTTGTAAAAACACTTCTTCCTTGAATATTTTACATTTTGCAGAACATTTCATGGAAAGTAATTGAATGTGGCTACAAGGGAGACAACAGCACCATTACTCGCACGTCTAATATCATAAGTGCAATTAACTGCACACAGCAAACATTAGGAGTTGCGTTAGAAATCACAAGTATTCCATGCACTTAAAAGCTTCACTACAAACAGAGCATTATCAAGATAAAGTTTACAAATATTGTCATCTGAAAATAAGCAAGTCTATCTAAAAAAAATCTATTTACAAGTACTGGGTCATATCTGCAGCCTTACTTCATAATAGTCTCTTTCGTCAATGCAATTGAATGCTGTATTTCATGAGCAGCACATATAGTCCCTTCTCAAAATGTAATTTGCACACTTAATCTAAATTGGCATTAGTGGAAAATTAAAATAATTATTTCCAGAATTAGAACACACAGATATTCCAAGAAGTCTAGGACGAAGCTACAGATATCACAGCTAGAAGATACAATCTACTAGAAGCTTTTGCAAAGATGGGTATGTTTTAAATACAAATCACACTAACCCCATAGAACTACAATTCTTACTTTTTTTCGATCTATACTCCTTAGGTGCTGTCCAGCCATACAAGCCATCTCCAGGTTCTTCATCTTTTAGAACCGTATCGTATTTTGACAATGTTTCAGTTGCATAAATATCATCATCTTCCTCCTCTAAAGCTCCTACGCCAAAAGCCTACAATATATTTCAAACAAAAGCAATGAGAACTCAAAAATGTGAAAATAGCATTTTAAGTCACTTGTTGGAACGCATCTATGTCAGTACCTTACCATCTACAGTATGTAAGATGCCCAATGCATATGGGGAAAAAATGTACTCCACACAAAAAAACAAGTGGTCCCAACTGGGGGATGAGAGGTGTGGGGGAGGAAGCAAAAATATTCTACTTGTTTCAGCCCCTTCAGAAGGACGAACAATAAGCTGGGTCTGTACGAGGCAAGGACAGCAGCCTAATTCTAGTGGTCAGATTTGAGTCTGATTAAATGCAGGTAAAATTACTGAGGGGGAAAAAAGGCATGAAAATTAATGAAGTGTAATTCTCAAAATTATATAAACTGACCAAGCTCTTTCTACATAAGAACTACAAATGCAACAGGAGAAAGTAAAACCCCTGACAGATTCAACACCACTGAAAGAATTCAGTAAAATTGAAGAAGAAAAAAAAACCCCTAAAATCATATTCAATATCAACTTTCTTTAGTCAAAGCAACACAAGAATTTTCTCAGTTCAATCAGTCAGCCAGCTATTTTCACCCTACTGCCTTTTAAAACACTGACAAAAGAAAACAGTTAAGAGATACAAGGCTTTATTTAATATGAAGATATGGACAAGTTAAACAACAGGAAGAAGGCAGACTCCTAAACCTGTTTTCAACCCATAGTTATGCTTTCTTACAGTAAGTTTACAATGATTAGGTCCCACTCTCACTACATTTTAGATTTTATCACACTACTACTAAAATAACTGAAACAATATCTTACCTGGCCTGTGATTCCTAGTTTTCTTTGTCTATTGTTTCTCACATCACCGATTAAATTACTTGAATCTTCAGAATCAGCTGCAAACAGATTAAGGTGCTCTCTTCCAGATGCACCAAACAAAGCTTGTGAGGGGTCCAAACCCTTATAGCCAAGTCCGTGGACATTCTCTTTTGGAGTCAAATCTACAGGCATTACATCTTTTGGTGCAAACGTCACATTTTCTGGCTGGTATTCATCCTCTTCATCCTTGTACAAAATAAAAGTATGTAAGAACAACAACAAAGTTTTGTATAAGTGGCTGTTACAACATCTAGTTAATATGAGACTAGGCAAGTCCGAGTTTCTGTAACTACATATTAAATTATCTATGAACAACACTTGATCAACTAATAAAAGAATAAATGTAGTTACATTTTCCATAATAAACGCAGTAAATATTTATGAACACTTTAACAAAACTTTCAACTGTGTGTTAAAGTTTAACTTAAAATACTTAAAAATATAAAAAGTTTCTTATAAAGGGTGTTAACACACATAAGTTATTTATACATAAGTTAATAAATAACTTGTGTCTGCACAATACCTCGGAACCTTCCGACAGCCCGGGTGGTAATGCACAGCCATATATTTTCACATCAGGATCTGTAACAGACACAACAGCAGCAGTGTTAATTTAAAGTATTTTAAATAAATTAAAATAAAGCTCGCTACTAAATTTCTCTAAGATTAAATAAACAGATTAAATAAAAGGAAGGAATAAGATGAGCTTCCTAATGGGTGTGTGAATGCTAGCTTTCTACAACTGAGTTCAGGCACCTCAGTGAACTTACCAGGCTTCTGCCTACGTGGCTTTCTCTTGACTCGTGGTCCAATTCCTTGTCCTTCTTTCCAGCCCATTTTTCGCAACAGTTCAACCCCAATTGTTATTCTAAGAAGAAACAAAATAAAGCAAAAATAAAAAACTGGAGTCACAATTCCAACATTCCTTGAAATCTAACAGCAAATCAAACCAATTGAAAGTTTGCTCTTGTACCATACTTCCAATTAAAATCTGAATGCATCAACGTTTGCATATATGCTGCATCGGTTGTAGGCATGTGCCTGGCACAAGTCTGCACATGCAACAACATCCACAAGGAGGCCTCACTGGAAAGGTAACACTGCAGATCTTGCAGCCTCTTTCATGAGTTACTCTAGTCAATTGCTTCTCTTATCAATGCACTCGTATGCAAAAGGAATTTCTAAGCTAACTTTTATTTAAACCTACTTACTTTGACGGTCCTATTAAATCATCAAACGCACTAGTTCCAGGAATGGCAGCAACTACTCCTGCAATCTGTCTAGCTTTCTCTTTTATTCTGTCCTTAGCTTTGGATGCAAAATCATCTGTGGTTGTAATATCTTTTGGGGCTATCCCAAATTCACTAAGATCCTAGAAAAGACAGGCAAAACAGAAAAATTACATTAGAAAATGTTTTCCTCAAAACACTTACTGTAACAATAAAGGAAAGAAAACAGGGTGCAACCCTTAATTGGCAACATTTTAAGACATTTATATGGTTGATTTCTGTGCAACTTGAATGGTCATACTTAAAACAGCTTTGAAAGTATTTGGATTTCCTGATAAGAGGAAATGAAAGATATTGTTGTTTTTTTTTTTTTTAATATTGAGATTATATGAACTTCCTAAGTGAATCTGTTAAATATCCTATAGAATCTAGAAGTATAACAACATACACATGAAATAATTTTAAGGTTACCACAATTTTTGCTGTTTAAATTCTTTTTTCATGGCCTGAAAAACTTACAATCACGGCCACAACTTCCAAAAGGGATTTATTTCTTTCCACATTTACCTCTTCATCCATGAAGTCTTCTGGTCCAAGAACAGTTCTGTCTGCTCTCTTCTGCCGTGATGATATAAAAGCTGAGGGCGTCCATCCTTTAAAGAAGGCAAAATAAGGGGCATCTAAAGTAAGAGACTGCAAACTACAACATAGCATCTGAAAACAATTCAAACATTTGAATCTTACACCTAAAGGATACATCAAGAGAACATTCACGTAGCTGCAGTCTGAGAAGCAAAGTTTAAATATCTCCAAAAATTATGTTCCAATTATTTACATAACAACAAACAGCAGGGGAAAAAATGATTAATAACATTTCTTTTCACTGATGTTTCGCTGACATTACAGTCATCAAGCAACTCCTCCTAGCTGACAGAGAAGTATCTCACCTTCCTTAGTGCCAACAGTGTTAAAGTAACCAGCAGAGAAGCCACCAGTAAATGCTCCATGAAAACGCTGGTATCTCCCCTTTGCATCTTTAACAGTCTGCTCTTGAAGAGGAACTGGCTTCTTAATTCGTTCACCTACAAGGAGATAAATCAGAAAGCAAGTCATAACACCACATAAAGAACGGAATCTCTACTTGGCCCAGAAGTCATTTCTTCCTTTGCAATTAAGAACAGGACTGAATAGTACCTATCCTGAAGTAGAAAGCATCAGCATCACTTACTCCCTCTCTACTTTATGTATTTGTGCACGCTGTTAACATACGCTGACAGAAAAACCATCAAGTGTTCAAATAGAAAACCTAAATTCTTACTAGTTCTGTGCACGTTCCTTTTTCTACAATCAGACTAATAGATTACCAGTCTGCTTAACAACACTTCTGATCTGTAAACGTTTCCCCTGTTTGTGACAGATACTTCAGAACGATTTACAAACCACTAGAAAGCTTTAAATACCACCCAGATTCTCCTTAATATTGACAAGTTAACTATGCAACTTTTTCATATAAAGTTTTTATATAAGAGCAAAAAAATCCTACCACTACAAATTTTCAACAGAATCAGTTATTCCACTGACAAAACGTAATGCTTGAAACACATTCCATTCATAAAGAGAAACTAGTGAAGCCCACACCGAACCTTCTGAACAATGAAGGCTTTGTGCTGATAACAAACTCACACACTCACAAGGCCCAATTCTCCTCTCGTATAATCTCAGTCAGGCACATGACACCATTATCACCATTTACTGAGAACTGAGGAGTTCCTGCCTTGGCAAAAAATAACGTGTAATACTGCTGTTTCTCTAAGGTCCACCAAAACTGTCACTCTCAGATCCTGTTAAAGAAAGTCCTCCCTACACACAGCAGCTCCTGCTTTCCAGCCCCTGATAGGCAACAAAACCTCTCTTTACCGTCAGGCAGACAGCTCCCAGGCTCCACTGGTTGGCTGTTAGCTTAAAAACGTCCCAGGTGGCACAGAACTCCTGGAACTCCAAACGCAGTCGGAGGTTTTTCCACACGCAAGCTCCCTGCAGCTCGACCCGCAGCCCGGCAGGAACGTTAGTTAAGAGGTAGAGGCTCTGAGCCCACAGCTGTGCACAGGCGCTAGGGCAAGCTCAGCCTGTGCCTCGAATACAAGCGTAGAACACGGCCACGAAAGCGCAAACGGCTTACAAGTTATGGTAAAGGCCTGAGTAAGGGACAGACTCAGGCCGGGACACGGGCTCTGCGCGGGCAGCACGGCCGCTCCCAGCCCTGGGCCGGGCTGCTTTATTTCGGCAGGCCGCTCCTCCGGGACACCCGGACACCCTCACCACAGCGCGGGCCAAAAAGGCAGAATAGTCCAGGCGAGCTGGCCGGGCTCCCTTACCTTCCTGCAGGGGCTGCAGCGCCGTCCCGTAGTTCACCAGATCCTCCTCGCCGTCGCTAGAGTCCGCCGCCATCTTGCCGCGACGGCGGCTCGCGCGGGACAGCGCGCGGTCACGTGAGTTACTGGGCCGGCTGCCGCTCAGCGCCGCGCCGCGAGGCTGGCCTTGGCCACGCGGGGTCCCCACTGAGGCCAAAAGGAATTTCCCGAGCGGGACGCTGTGTGGAAGCGCAGAGGCAGCGCTCTGCGTGGTGACTTTGGCAATTAATACCGCTAAATAAAGGCATATGCTTTGCGTTCACACCTCTGTGAGAGGCACCTCGCAAGGGAAGCTTTCATTCAACACATTTTGTATCAGAACAAATAAATACCTGTCAGTTATGAACCAAGCGTTCCAAACCGACGTTCTAATTTTGCGTTCCCCACTATTACCTGCACTCATATGGCAGTTGTGATTCATTTCATTTCTCCACCTTCCAGTTTTCTGCCAGACTCAGATTCACTCAACGTCTTATAATTAGAAAAAAAAAATTGACACGTTCACACGAAAGATACACGGTGCTTCATCCTGTGAAGTAGCGCCAGGCTCCATTCAGAACTTCTGCCAGCCGAGACCACCAGTTTATTGAATTCCTTCGAACTAAATCACAACACAGCTGTAAGGGACTCACGGATAAGACTTCTTTAAGCTTAGCGGTGTACTCTGTAATCCAGCCTTTGTGTTTGTTTGTGCGCACGGAACTGGTTTCTTCCAAAGTGAAACTTCCCCAGTTTCATGTGGTGTCAGCTTTCCATAGGAAATATTTACCCAGTTGTATGCAAATAGAGGGCACTCAGTTATTGAGGTCTGGGATTGGCTCAAAAACAACTCGGTGGAAGCACAGGCATTTATCTACGTGCATTACCTTTCCTCATCGTTACTAATTAGTAGGCAGTTATCCTAGAGCACGTAGTGCAAAATGAGTTGTTAGCACTGTTGCTTTTTCTTTTTGTTTGGGAAATAATTGCTGCTAAATAGTCAAGTCTGAGGGATTTGGATGCACATGCTTAAGTAAACTTTTTTTTTTTTTTTTGCACAATGTTAACAGAAAATCTTTTGAGTGTTTTGTCTAAGTTCAAAGAGATCGGGTAATCAAATCTCGGAGGTTTTTTTTCCCTTTAAAGCTCTTAACAGATTAGAAATACTTTCGCATTATAGTGGTATTTCCTTTCCATGGTAAACTATGTCTCCAATTTGCATTTGTTAAAGCAGGTGACTGTTACTATCTGCAGCTGATGCAAGTGACTTTTGGTAATGCAACTAAAATTTGTGTAGGTTTGAATAGTTTATGTTTGAAAAATTAATATATATATATTTTTCAATATTTGAGTGGTGAAAAAAACAAAACAGCATTTTAAAACGAAAGCTCAAAGCCAGTACACATGAAGCTGAATTTGGGCTCCCAACCTCTGATGGAGATCGGGTTTTATTTTCTAATATGTTTTCAGCATCTGTTTTTTAATTAGTTCATCAAGGAGGAACCACCAACATTACTTCCCATACCCTTTGTAATGTTCTGTACTCTTTAACAACAGTCCCTCAAATAGGTAAGTTATTATTGATTAGTTTTAAGTTACTGCTACTAGTTAGTAATTAGTAATTACTAATTAGTTAAGTTACTGCTACTAGAGACTGAAACCAGCATAATCCATGTACAAGTGTAGAAAACAAAATTTTGATTCTTCTACAAATTAAAAAAATAAAAATAAAAAAGGAAAGAATATATAAGAAGTTCAAAACAATATTAAATAGACTACGTATTTACTATTCAAAATAGGGCAATGACTTCACTGCTAACTTATCTTGGGTCAATGGGAATAACATTCATCCTAATATCCATCCTAGCAGCACACAGCTATGTATCATTTCAGGAAACAGATGCACAAAGTACAGGCCCTGAGGAGTTAAGCTTTTACAAAGTTTACAAAGCTTATTTTAATATTCTCAGGAATGAACAAACAACAGCAACAGAGGAGATAATGCATACAGTCCTTAAATAAACTGATTTTTACCTTGGGGTTTCAGATAAAGACAAGGCATTATCTGGAACAAGTGGTGATAATTTTGCCCATGTCTAACCTTACATTATTTATCACATCTCACTGAAACTACAATGTATCATTTTAAATATGATAAAGCTCTAGTTAACCCATGTAACTCTTGAAGCAGTGAAATGCTGCACCTGTAGCCAATTGTATTATAAACTTCCATTGAATTCGCAAAGCACTTTTGGTACCATTTGGTTTCACTCTGTAGATTTCTTGGTTAGGAAAACTTCGGGCACTAGTTCCTTGCCATTCCTGTCTGGTCACCTTTCAATTCTTCTGTCATAAAATGCAGAAGGGCTTCTTTTGTTTAAGAGAAGTCCTTGCAGTCTTTAGTCTCAAAACTTTACAATTTGAAAAACTCCTACATCTGGTAAATTTTAGCAGTCTTTAATGACACAGACATCACCATTACCACTGTGCTCCCATGCCTGTTTTTGCCGTTTTTTTTTCTTTCTTTTGACAAATACGGCTTTGCAGAGAACTGAGTGAGAAACAAAACTCAGTTTAAGAGACCTTTTTCTCTCTCCTCACCTAAAACGTCCCTACTGTACCTGGACATTCCCTTACTACAGAGCTACAATCTTCAAAAATGAAGAACTCGACAACTGTAAAGTTACAGACTGCCAGGGATGCTGACAAAATCTTTTTTTGCTCTCAGCAAAATATTTAATATGAAACATGAATATTTAATATTCCAAGCCAACAACTGAAGGAGCAATAAACAACTATGTGATCTGCCCAGAATTCAAGAATCTACCTGACAAACAGCACGTGTTGGAAGCACACTTCTCTCTTCACACTGTATCATCCTGATGTGCTTTTGTTGATAAGCCTCCCTGTCTGTCTGGGACAAAAACTGCTTCTGAAGCACCTGTTACCATACTGCAGCCGCAATGTTTGTAGTCACAAGAAAAATAAAAAGTTCACTTCCCACAGAGTAGTATTGTTCCTACAAAGGCTAATGAGATTCAGATCTTCGGTGTACAACTGCATCAACACAAGTCACGGCAGGAAATGAATTTCCCAAATTGAGACCCCTTCCTACTGGCCAAAGAGAAATATGGGGACTAAAACAAGGACTGGAATTTCATATATTCACTTTTTTTTTTTTTTTTTTTTTTTTTTTTTTTTAAGATGAGGGGGGGCAAGGACAGGACTGACTGAGCGAGCAGAATTACACAAACACGAAAGAAACACGGCACATAACGCGTACATATATATTTATATATACACCATCGTACATGTGTACGTATCTACGCATACTACCGTGTGTCTGTGGTAAGCCTATTCCAATTCTGACCTCTCTCTCACCTTGACTTCTGTGGGACAAAAACTGGGAAAACTCCAGCTCTGCCTTTCAATGCCTGTTTTCAATGCAGTCATTGTTTGCTTCACCTGGCTGGTTTATCTGCGAAAATGCAGAAAGCCTGAAGCACAGAGTTCTGGAAAACAAAGAGAGAGATTTGATGCAGAGATAACATCAGTTGCTTTCAGCTTCAGTATTTTAGGCACAGCACACTGATGCAAATCCTTGAGCATCTGGTAAAAAATGCTTCCTCAGAGACAGTGCCATGTCCTGTGCACCAGTTCACTGAATTTGGTCTTCTAAGGTTACTGATGCCAACCAAACATCTGCCTCTGCCCTTTTTCTGAGTGCATGAGTTACTGATTCCCAGCCTGTTATTGCTCAATCTCTACAATGCAGGAAACCAAACCCTCTGATTAATACAATTGTGAGAAACTGAGAAAGTCTGTGGTATGAACCCATCTCTATTTCAGAATTCTAATAGCAACCGAAGAGCTGCTGGAAACAAGTTATTTAACCAAATGCTTAGAAGAGTAGGGACATGTTTTCTGAGATAAATCAGTTTTTGGAACGTTCTAAGCTGCAATTTACATTCCAGGGTCATGGAGTGCTCCTACTCCATCATTACACAGCTCAGCTCTAAATACTGAGACCATGCAATCAGCATGTCTTCTGAAAAAAATCGTATTCACTAAGAGGAGCAATCCGTAGACAGACAAAACTTACTGAGACTTACTTAGAAATACGAGATAAATCCTGACAGTCGTGAAGTACTCTTATCAAAGAGAGGGCAAGGCACAGTCTGATCTGGCAGTTCTGAAGGTGTTGGAAGATATTCTCAGGGTGCTCACCAGGGGGGAGGAAGCCTGTAAGAGCTATCTCAGATTCTTGAATTTGCTGGAAAATTTCACTGTGTGTAATGCTGCTGACTTTGTTTCATTCCAAGTATCCTCCAGCAACTGACAAAGGCTGCAGTCTGCAGTCTGTCACCGAGATACACTACAAATACTTAACTTCGGTACCATTCTCCGCGGAAACTTATGCAAATTAGTGCTTTCCACACACCGCAGTCATGGTCACTTGTCTCACTGTTAACCATCTGACCCTTTAACCAGGCTACAAACTCTTACGACTAAGCTGGAGTAACAGCGATACCCTTCATGTTGAGTCCAATTTCAATAAACCCAGCAGAAGCAGTGCTGTGCCGACTGCCCGGCTGCAGCAGCACATCTGACAGTTTGCTAATTTTTCTCTCATTGATATTAATTTCAACTACTACGTTGACTTATTTTGGCAAGATTAAGTTTTTCAAATATTTTTCTTTGTTAGGTCAGTGCATTTTCTAACAATGGAAATAACACTTTAAAACGAGATTGAGGGAAGTTAATCCACTTTCCCATTTCGCCCAGTATGTTTAGAATTAATGGGGGGGGAAAAAGTAAAAGGTACAGCGGTGGGAGCATATGCTGTGGGGAAGAATAAAATTCAGCCGGCCTCAAGAGAGCCAACATGGTGTGTCTGGATCCCAATCTCTGAACTGCTGGCTCTTGTGCTCTTCCTTCTAACAGCAGCGGGCGCAGCTCAGCCGCAGCGCTCTGCTCAGCTCCCTGCTGACACCCGCACTTTCAAAGGGAGTTTTTGGGAACTCGGGATGTAATCCCAAAGATATTTCTCTTTGGTAGGGAAAGGTTGTGTTTGCAGACACCTTCCTGGCTCCTGAAAATTACTGCTACAGAAAGACAGAACTCACGGAAGGACAGGATACGTTTGCTAATAGTCACTTAAAGCACTTTGATGCATAACGTCCTCGCATGCTGGAAGCCCATATAACTATAGCTTAGGCCTGGGCAGCAATAGCAGCCGATGCTGCCCATTTCCTTACTCGAGCGTCCAACAAACATCTGCAGAACCGGTTGCACAGTGGAATTTTCTGAAGACGTGACGTTCGCGCTGTGAACCCCGCCGATCTGCGCACGTCTGAGGCCGACCTCACAGAAATCTCCAGGGCGGGCAGCGACCGCCGCGCTGCCGGCGGCCCCGGGGACGCGGGGGTCACCCGTGATGACCGTTCCGGCGCGGGGACGCGGAGCGGCTGGAGGCGAGCGGTGCTCGGGGGTCTCAGCCGGACCTCGCCTCAGGGCAGCGCGGGCCGGGGAGGAGCCCCGCGTCCGTCAGCCGCCGCCCTCGTCCCGACCTCACTCCGCCACGCCGGGTCCGCTCCGCCGCGGAGCCTCCGCGACGAGCCCGAGCCACGAGGCGGGCGCCGCGCGGGGCCAGGCGGTCCGGAGCAGCGAGGGGCACGACCGCGGGGCGGGGCGGCCGCTCCCCGCCCGCCGGGGGTGGAGCCGGGCGGCGCCGCGGGGCAGCGCCGACATTTCCCGTGGGGTCGCGGCTTTCCGCAGCAGCACGGCCGAGGACAGCTCTCTTGGTCGGAGATGATGGACGCCCTGCCGGCTCGCGGCTGCCCGGAGGAGGACTGCTACTTTCGGAAGGTGAGAGGGGGGCGGAGCCCCGGGGTTCGGTGGGCTCCGGAGCTGCCGGCGCCGTCCTGATCCCAGGCGGTTCCGCCGCTCCCGGGCCGGGCTCGCGCGCACCTCCTCACGAGGAGCCCGGTTCCGCCTGGCGGCTTTTCTGCCTTTCCGTCCCTTCGTGCTGTCGTTCGCGCTCCGTCTCCGCGCTCGCTCTCGAGTAATTGCCGCGTGTAGCTGTCGGAAGCTTACTCGAGCGAGGCGGCGAAGTTAGCAGAGTCGTTAGGAAGCCTTTAATAAACATCTGCCCTCATTACTTCTCAGACGACGTGGGCGGCTCGTGCCGTGCCCGGGCTCTCGGCACGGCGGCAATTACCTCTCTGCGCTGCCCGCGGCGCTCCGCTCGCGGCCCGCCGATGCCCGCAGAAGCGCGTCCGAACGGCGCTGCCCTGCAGCGGCTGGGAGCGGCGCGGTGCTGCCGGAACGGGCGCTGTCGCGCGGGGAGCCAGGCGGGCTGAGGTGAAACTTCCCATCTTGTCCGGTTCTTTCATTTGAGTAATCCTCATATAGTATCGGGTGAGTAATCACTTAGCAGTCCTGAGCAGGAAATCGCGAAGTATGGCAGAGGTGTAATCGTTCTGAGTTCTCGTAGCTGTGCTCTGTAGCACCAGGTGCTGTGGGCTGCTGCCGTACTTGACGTGTTAGCAGAGCCTCGCAATCCCAGAGAAAGCCGAACTTGTTAAGTTAGATACAAGTTGTTTCTCTTTGCCTTGTTGTAGGGGTCCGGCTGGAGTCTGATGGCCAAGCTGTGTGCTGTAAGGAGTGGGAGGCATACGCTGCACTCAGACCGGCCATAGGATGGGGTCCTTTCTGGTTACAGCATCGTACATTACGAATAAGGTCTCATAAACAGCATCAGATCAGAGCCATCTCCATGTGCTGAAAAGTTATGGTGCTATTCCGATATGAAAGAACTCAAAGATAGATCTTACACCTTGTTATGAACATCTTCCCCACTTTTGATTTGCTTATCACAAACAAGTGCAAAATGGACAGAAATCCAATGTTAAATCTGGATGAGCTGGGGCTGCACTGGCACCTTTTCCTCTGTTCGCTCAGGAGATCTTTGGAAGGCTCATCTGGCTCTTCGGTACCATTAATATGGTTCTAAACATCAGATTAAGTTAAAAGCTGAAAGCCTTCTGTCCCTAGAAGTTAAATCTAAACAGAAAGCCAGTATTCCTTGTTACACATTAGTTGAATGGTCTCAAAGATCAGAGCTTTCATTCTAAGTAGATTCAGGAGAAGAAAACAAGTAAACAAGAAGAAAAACCTGGAATCCTGAACAGACTCACCCTGTGAAGCCAAAGCATTAACCTGGACAGAATATCTTTCTTTGGACCTTACCTGTTCATTTGAATGGTATGCTAGATGGCTTCATGTAACAAACTGGTTATTGAGCTAGTCATGTGTGTCCATGGGCTCCCCCGCCTCTCCAGAGTCCCTCTGCATTGTTTTCTGTTCCCTTAAAAAAATAAATAAATAAATAAATCACACTCTTCATTCCCTGAAGGAGTCTGAGGGTTGTTCTACTTGTTCTGCTGGTGCAGAAACACACCAATTTCCAAAAGCCATTGCGTGTGTTTTGAGATGAAAACATTTACTTAGTTGACCTTTCTAATGTATAAGCTGCAGAGCAAGATGAAAATACTTTTTTGTATCAGGACTGCTCATAAAAGGGCTCCCAAGCATTCTGTATGCAATGAGGTTGTCTTCGATACTGTAAAAGACTTTTATATATACTCTGAGATCTTAATATTGATAAAATTGAGTGGTCCATACAATATTCATTTGTTCTAGACTTTTGATGTATTTTTGTGATAAGCGGATTGCTGTGGGACGTTTCTCAAAGCTGACACAGTGCCCTTTTGCAGCCTTAAATACAAAAGAGCAGACAGTAACCCTCGCTGTACCCAAGATGCAAAATGTAAAAACTTATTTCCTAAAGTCTTATTTTCTTTTGGGTGGAGACTGGCTTTGTGTAAAGGGCAACAGGCAGAAATGGTGTAACAGAAACACAATCCTGTTTCCTTCTTTCACTCCTGTTGCCACACTAGGAAGTTAGGCTTGCTGTGACTGCCAAGTCAGTCCCAAGTGGGATGGCTGGCAGTTTCTTCTGGCAACTTTCCGTGCAGCCCTGGGGCTCTCTTCCTCCATTCATTCCCAGCCACATCAGCAGCAGCTCTGAGTCCATTCTCTCCTTTCTCCTCATGGCAAAGGCCCCTCATCTTTGCATATGCAAACTATGATTTCCTTTAAACCATTGACTTCCTTTGAGCTGGTTCTGAAGACCACTCCTCCCTCCCCCCTTTTCCTTTTATAATACCTAGTTTTGAAATAATTATGCAACCATGCAGGGTACACACAACTCTGTCAGTAATGACACTATTCCTCTTCTCCTGGCATCTCCCCTGTGAAAGGGGAACCTCTTCAACTATTTGATTAGCCACAACTAAAATTCTGAGAGGAATTTTAGGTTTAAGAAAAATAAATCCTGCTGTTGCTCTGAAAAGGATATGGCAAGGTGGAAGGGACACCCTACTTGGACTTCCATCAAAGAGGAGATGGAGATTCTTCTGGAAGTTTTTTTTTTTCTTTCTGGGAATACAATGCCTAAGCAAACTGGTTCTGCTATTGTTCTGTCTATCTCTGCCATCACGTTTGTAGATCAGTATACCCTGTGGTACAATATCAGGGCAGACTGTACCTGCAGTTCTGTGTGTGCTCCTGGATGACCAGCCTTGTGCCACAGCCTTCTTTGCATGGAGTTCCACATTATTCTCTTGGCTCTGGCCGTGAGCCTGTGAATCAGCCATGCTTATACCATACTCTGTCAAGATCCACTCCCTGGCATTTTTCCCATGAGAGAATCTACAGCAGTGGGAAGTACTGACAAAACTACAGATAAGAGCAAAGAACTTGTTTTGAAAGCAGAGCAAGGCCTTCACATAGAAGGAGTTTTCAATGCACAGTACTTAAAGGCCCATCCTCACCTACCATTTTGCTTACCTGAGATGCTTATTCCACTCCAAACGACATAGCCTGCCATAGCTCTGCATCAGATTGCCTGTTCTTCATTTACACAAGTTCTTGTGAGGAAAGCAAAAGCAAAGAACACCTTGAAAGAAGAGTTTTCTTCATTCTCTTTATTCCAGAATCAGCCCACTGAACCAGCGTGCATTAGCAGAGTAACCCAAAGAGCAGTCAGTATACAGAACTCAGGGTACCTGTGAGGCTGTGCTTGTCCACTCACAGGATTCAAAACAGAGCGGTGATCTCTTGGTAGAGTTTCATCAGCCCTAGAACATTGTTTGGTGAGTAGAAGCAAGGAAGTAGAGCAAGGAAGAGATTTCTAGCAAACTTTTTAGCATGTAACTTTTCTATTTTAGTTAATTGCATTATAATGCATTACACAGATTGGAACTTTTCAGGTTTCTTAATTAGGAAGCTGCAATAGAAGGAAAAACCCATGTTTATTTTTCAAGCTTACCTTTTTTGTAGGTCTTCAGACACATACTGGTACAGCACTAAGCATCCTATCTTCAGTTTGGTTGTCTTGGAAAGCTGTGTGGACAGGCCAAGCAGTTGAACAGATAGCTTAAAGAGCCTCAAAATTCATGTCAGTTGAGTGAAGATAATTGCTTTCTTTTCCCTTTCTGAAAGTCTAGAGACAAGAAAATTATCATGTAGACCAAGCTGATTCAGAAGGAAGAAGGTATGGTAGTCCTTCCTGCCAGGATGAAAAGGCTAAAAACAGAACGCAAGTAGTTTTGTAAATAGAGTGCCAGGCTGAAACTAACAATGATGGTAGGTATGATAAGTTGCTTGTGAATCAGCCCTAATTAATCCTCTCTCTCTTTAGCTTTTGGGCTTTCTTGTGGAGGATTTGCCCCCATGCTCTGCTGTGATTTATGGATCAGTTTACCAACCTGCTACACCTGTGCTTCCACTGGGGCTTAGCTAACGTGGCTGGTTTTAGTCATTAGTAGCCAGGCAACAATCAACATTAGCATTGACACAGCAATATTTATTTGCCTGTTTGTTCTCTCCCTGCTTGTCTAGCCAGGCCAGAAACAACATTGACGTGATTCACACCCGGCATCAGGCCATGCTCTGTCCACTCATTATATACAAATTAAAAAAAACCAAAAAACTGAAAGTAGGCCTTCATGGCCAAACCAGGAATCATTTGGAACTTGGGTCATCAAGGCACAGGCTTCTCAGACCCGGTATTAATTTTGATTTGTGAGTGGTGTGACAAGATTGTATAGATGGTATAAAAAATGTTTGGAACAATACAATTATTAATTATAAAACATTATTGTTAGTCTTTGAACACTTAGAACTGTAACATACCTGAATATGGAACAATTAGATCAGGCTCTGGATTATCAGTTCTTCCTTAACTCTCTCTTCCTTATCTTAAGCACAGATTAAAAACATCTACTGTTGAAAGGTTTGTGGTATGTGCCTAAGATTTCAGCATTGAACTAAGGGAATCTCTCAGAGAAGCTTCAACTGCAGCAGTAGGAGATGGTAAGGAAATCATCATTTAGGAGCTATTCAGAGTCCTACTGGAACTACTGGAGTGTCAGTGGTGCCATGTACCGTGACTTCTATCGCAGCCAAGGAATTTACCTGCATGAGTGGAGTTGCGTACAGGTTTAAATGCCTGGGGGCTATGGCCATTTGCATGCTCTGCAGGGTACAAGCAGCACAGGTCACACTGGCTGGGAAGGAATGTTTTATTTTAGGTAAGGAGGCACACCCAGTTTCAACTCTGTGTCACCCTGAGTGTGTGACTGGTCTAAAAGTTCAAACCACTGCCTCATAAGTCATATTCATGCTGATTTCAGATGCCTCCTTTGATTGCTCATTGTTAGGCAGTCACAATTTTTGTGTGCATCGCAACTTCAGTTCTGATGTTAAAAATACTCCTGTCTTGAAGAAGGATCTGCCAGGCACTGAAGCTAAATGCAGCTCTTCTCTGTTTGGGGCCTAGACTTTTGACAGCTTGCTTCCTTCTGTGGTGGGCCACTTCGAAGCTTGGATAAACATGAAAATATGGCCTGTATCCCTTAGACTGGGGATTTGAAGGCTCTGTCAGGTGGGAGGTAGAGGCAAGATGCTGCCCATTGACAGCTAACCTGCAGCACCCAGCTACAGGCTTGTCTGACTGTCCTCTTAGTGTCTGTGTAATCCATAGAATAAAATCTCTCCCAAATCCCATGTGAGCCCCATGGAGCCCATCAGCCGCCCTGTAGCTCTGCTTTATCTCCTGCTGCGCCCCATCTGAGAGGCAGAAAGTTGCAGCAAGATCCCAGAGGCATTCATTATGCTGTTTGCCAAATAAGCATGTGTGGGATAATGTTTAGAGGGTTAAAAGTACAAGGTGAGATATCCAGCCTCCTAAGCTCAGGCATTAATTCTAACAAGAGATGAGCAGGAATCCCACTGGAATCTGTCTGCATGCTCCATTAATTAGTCAGAGGATTGCTACGAAATGTGCATAGGCCCTGCACAGCCTTCATCAGCAGATGTGTGTTTATTTTTCTCATACCAGTGTCTGTTTCTTCTGAGCACGTTTCTACCAAGGTACACATATAACATATGGTAAGAAATTGATGTGCGGGACTTGCTTTTGGTGAGGACATAATAAAAACTTACCAGCTTCCTGGCACTGCAGTTCAGCCAAGCAGGAAGAAATGAAGTAACTAGCTAACTGAACTTCAGGTTTTAAAGAGACTGTTATTTTTTTTTTCAGAGGCTAAGAACTATAACATTTAAGCACTTCAAACAAACACACCTCTTCATGAAATGCAGCACTCTGAGGGGAAAAGGGCTCTAAAACAGATAGCAGAGTTTGAAATGTCTTTACAAGAAGTATATTTACTTTTTTTTCCCATCAAAACATGCAATGAAAACTTCAATCATACTTTATTCTTGATCACTTTTGTGACATCGTTAGTAATAAGTCACTTTGTTAATGAACTGATAACACTGCTAGTGTGTGAGTGAGGGTAAAATCCCCTTTGCTCTCTGAGTTGTCTTGCATCTGCAAAGAAATAAACAGTAATTAAATGAAACATCTCTCATTCTGTTGACAAGAAATGAAGCAGTAGGTGTGGAAACTGCTGGGAAGTTTGGCTGCCAGCTATTTAATGTCCTGAACATAAGCATTCTTGGGAATGTCCATATGTGAGCCACCTACAAATGGGGGCTGAGAAAGGACCTTTGTCATGCAGGAAGACAAAATGGAGCTTTTACACAGACCTATCTCTTAAATAATGTTTAAGCACACAGAGGTGGTGATTTACACGAGGAGAAATCTTCTCTGGATTGTCTATTTCCCATAACATTTCTTGCTGATGTTGGTTATTTTCAGTGCTCTCTCTGCATCCTTGTACCTTTCAATGTTCTGGCATCCTATACAAAGAAGAGTTGAAGCCTGCACATGAGCATAAACTAGCTGAGCATCCCCATATGTTATAGAGGGGATCTAAAAAGCAGTTTTCCATGAGGTCAAATGCAAGCTCCTTGATGGCTTTGAAGTAGGTGGGAGGTATGTGCAGTAGAAGAGCCTACTCTGAAAACATTCTTCTTTTCAAAGAAAGCCTTTCAGAAGTGAAGCACTTGAGGCACACGGGGGTGATCCCGATAGTTAGTCAGTGCCTTCTCCTTTTAGGCCTGAGGGGATTCTTTTTGCACTGGGGCATCACACAGTGATTAGAGGCTGGCCTTGAAATGAAGGGAAACACCTCTGCTGCTTTTGTTCTTTGCGGAGTTTGAGGTCGCTGCAGATTTGCACTCAGTATTCACCTGGAGTCTGTTTGATTTCTGGGCTGGATCTTGATTTGACGTCCATGGAAATAAACCAAACACTTCTGCTGAGCTTTGTTGGCTCGAGGATCGGGCAGGTGATCTTCCTGAAAAAGTTCCCAGAAGTAAAGCTGCAAAGGATTGGAATGACAACAGGAAACTTGTTGTTTGTGCAGAAAGGGCAGGGAGTTCTAGGGAGGAGCTGCAGCCCTAGAGAGAAAATGAAGTCTGGGCAGGGGATGATGCACTTGGGAGGGGTGCTTGGACAAAGGGGTTTGGGAAGAAGGGCATCCCAGGGGTCCAGAGATGAAAGGCCCAAGAATAAAGTGTTCAAGGTGAATACAAGATGCAAGACAAAGTCATTGGCAAGGTTCAAGTGCAAAGGAGCATGGATAGACCGGAAGGAGAGAGACTTTGAACATCAGTAGTAGAGAAAGACTATACAGTGTAAAGTGAAGAAAAAGCAAAATTGGAAGAACAGCAAGTGCCCAGAACAAGATGCAGGCTAAGAGCAGAAAGCAACCTGTAGGTGCAAGGCCATGTTGTTCCTATGAGTGTGCCTTGCTTTTGCCTCTGAGTAAAAATGTGTTAAAGGGCATAAAGTATTTTGTACTTCAAAGACTACTTTTAATCTGACATGAACAAAGGAAATTACTAAATATGCATGTACTCTCCAGTAAAAGTTCATCTTCTTTGTATTCTGTTTGCTACCAATGCTTTCTCATCAAGGAGAGTATGTAGCATACATCCAAGTTCTGGCCTTCTGCTGAAATTGGTGCTTCACTGTAGAAATGTTTCTATGATGAGAATAATTTAATGTGACATGTTTTTTTAAATTATCTGGCACACGATGCTTCAGAAAGCATTTACACAAGCTTTATGTCATCTTACCTATTTATTATAAACTTTTAAAAGTAAGGATTTAAAGTTAACTGTACTAGGCTATGTGCTTTCTCAGATAAGCTGATATAAACTGGATTGATCCTCTTGTTTCTCTGTTGCCAAGTTAGTTTGCTTTCACCTGCCAACCCAAATAATAATGTCGTGGTCAGAACTTTGTGTTCTATTTAAATACTTGCTTTTGATGTGCTGGTATGTTATTGCCTGACCACTCATAATTAGAGCTCGTTGAGAAACTTTTCAGTGCTATTGTGTCTCAGCCAGATTTTTCCAGTTAACATGTAAGAGGGGGATCCCAAACTGTTCATAATGTAGTGGCTGGAGGACTTGTGGGAAAACTTGCGTCAGACAGATTTGAGCCTTTTTAGTGTATAATGCAAGATTCAGCAGGACCCAGTTAAACTTCTTAACAACACCCAGCAAGGCCACTCGAAAGGTCGCGCTTCATTTAAGGGTAAACCTTAAGATGGAGTGATCTGTTTGCTTCAGAATCAGTAGTCAAGGCTGCGCGGTGTGCTGGTCAGCTGTAAGTGAACATAAAAAAAAAAAGGTGGGGGGCAGAGGCAAGGAATTGAAAAAGAAAAAAAGTGGAAGGATTCTGTATTAAAAACAAGGTGTTAAGATTGTGTTCCTCCTGGAAAGAACAGAAGTCAGACAGACACACAGTTCTGCTTGTCCGTAATCGTTTTATCTTATCAGAGCGCTCTCTGAAATACAATGGCGTGGCTCTCCTCATGTAAATGTGCAGAACCTTTGTTCTTCTACTTTTGTGTAGGTTTGCACGTACACAGAAGTATTCTTGTGAATTGTGGATTTAATGATTTACTTTTTAAGGGCTCAGTTTGCTAAGTATCTGAAGGTGCAATAACCATCTTTCCCTGTCCAGGTCTGTTGTTCCTTTATCCCATATTATTCCATGTTCCATCTTTTTTGATGTTGAGGCAGACATATGTAATCCTTGTTTGTCCAACAGATGATAAGATAAAGTAGTGGGCAGATAATACTTGGCACTGTGATAATATACAGATGAAATATTGTACAGAGTTTATCCATATTTCACATTTTTGGTGCAGTATGCAAAAGTGATGTTGCGTTAGGGCAGGGCAGACTTAAAGATCTGAGAGCATTCCCTAGATCTGAAGAAGACTGGTGCAGATAAGCAGTACTGTGCCAAAAATGAGTTTAAGGTATAAAGAAAGGAACTGGGGGAAAGAGGGGTGGGATTGTACTGAGCACCAGAAGGAACAAGAGAAGAGATCCTCTCAAAAGTTCCTAAGTCTGTGGTGCCACAAATCCTGCTTTCCGATAGAGTAGTATTTCCAGGCTTTATCTCCCAGTATGAAACTCAGATGTTTTGGAAAGGTTAAGCAGAAGCATTAGTAAGATTTATTGCCTTGCCAGGCAGCAGTTTTACAAAACCTTTAGGAACTTAATAGCGTGCTGTCAAATTCAGTTGTAATTGGACAATAGCTTCAAAGGATTTTTAGGAGAGAACAGACTGGCTCACATGTGCATAAGCTCTAAACCAAATACTTTCAGCCTAGATTTTAATGTCGAAAGCTTTGGTTACAGTGTTCCTTATGCTTTTAATAACCAAGTGTGAGAAAGGAAACGCTGTCAAAACAGTCATCTGTCATTGCTGTCAACACAGGTAACCGGTATTTGTACAGTACCCATGCCAACGGAGTTAATTCAAATGCAGGATTACTCATTTTTCAGAATGGTGTAACAACAAAACTTGTTTCTTTCATTCTAGGGATGTAATCCTCTTGCTGAGACTGGTCGAAGCAAACTACAAAATCGAAGAGCTGTCCTAAACCAACAGATCTTGAGAGCAGTAAGAATGAGAGCTGGTGCTGAAAACCTGTTACGGTATGTGCTGCTGCTTCGCAGTGCTTTAGCCTGAGCAGCAAAATGGTTTTTTGTGTGGGGGAGGAGGGAGACTTACATAATTACTGCTGGACGCTTTGTGAATCTCCCTGCTTGTCTCTGCTGGGCCCTTACCTGCTGTGAAGTGCGCTTCCAAAGCTGCGCTGTTGTAGCAAGTGGCTGCATGTTGGACTTGCTCTACCAATCTAACTCCGTCTTGCTCTGTTTGATCAACTTTATTGCTAGTAATAATGGCAAGAGAACCATATTGAGGGCAATACAGCCATATTTGAGATGTTTACCTGGATAGAACACCAGGGTTTCTGAGGGACATGCTAAAATCCTTCCTGTGGGGGCTGGTAAGCTAGACCAAACACAGAGCCTTAAAAATACTGTAACTAAACTGCTTTTAGCATCAGAGCTCACCCAGTTATCTACATGGTGCTCAAGATCCTTTCTATTCTGTATTTACATCCAGTGTGGATTATGCAGACAGCAGATTTAAACCCTGCTCAAACTAATCAGCCTCAGGAATACAATAGAAATAGAGAACTTGCAGATAAAGCACATTTATAATGTGAAATGCAAGGTTAGAATTTAATCCTTGGGATTCCCAGTTCTTCACTGAGATACTCTGCAAAACTGGAGGATGTGCCATGAGAAGCCTAGATGTATCATAAGGTTGTTCATGAATATTTATGAAGGTTAATTTTAACTTCAAGGTAAATATAAATGCTGCAAATTTAAACTTATTTTAAATTGTTGTTGTCTGATGATAATCTATCTAAAAAAGGGGTGAAATATCTTAAAGCTGGATATGAATCACTCCAGTTCACGTCTGTACTTACTGGTAATAGTTTAAGTCTCTTGTAAACAGTAATGCTGGATGGAGAATCAGGTTAGAAGTATGGATATAATGAAATATGTAAATAATAAATGGCACAGAAATGCTGTATTAATTTCCGCTGTGCTCGTGGTCCTAGAAGAATGTAAATATATGGATGGCAAAGGAACAAGCAAATCCTATTTGCATAAGAAAAAATATTATGAACATATTGTATTACAAAATCTTCCTACCTGTATTCTTGCTAGTAATGCATTATGTAATAACAGCTTCCCCATAAAACAGTTTTCTTTCATTTTTAAGATCAGAAGTCGCAGCGGATCATTATTCAGTTAATAAAGTGGGTGAATCTCTTGAAAAAACCCTTCCAAATTCCCTTCTCTACCCATCATCCTCTTCTAGGAGGAGACCACATAATCTTAAAATAAGATAGGGATTGTTTGCAAGATACTTTAATATTTTTGATTAATGTATCTGAAAATGATGCTGACTCTTTATCTCATGAAAAAATTAGCATGTGACAAACCTTCCGTGTGTCTGCATGCTGCTATCTGGAAACTATTGTCCTCTTTCGACAGAAAAGCTAATAAGTTCTGAAACATGAGGTCTTGTATCATCTCTTAAGGGGATAAAAAAAATCTGAACAATGCTGAGAATGCTAGCAGAGGGGTCAGCTCAGCTTATGTACAAAACCTGTTCCTCAGCAATAAAAAAACGATGTCTCTTTCTTTCTCCAGGGCTACCACCAACAACAAAGTACGAGAACAGGTACTACTGGAACTGAGTTTTGTAAACTCAGACCTGCAGATCTTAAAGGAGGAGTTAGAAGGACTTAATATCTCAGTAGAAGTTTATCAAAATACGGAGTAAGTTTCAAGTTACTAAATTATTAACAGAACTTGTATTTAGCACTGAAAAAGGAAACTGTTTCTAGATGAATCTGAACGCTGGACAATAATAACCTGAAAGAACACAATACTTGATAGGAAGAGAACATATTTGATGGTAGATTTGTTGACTAAGGGTTAGTCTGTGTTGTTTGTCTTTCACTTGGGAAAGGTATGTGCCTCTAATCCTTAGATACAGAGTCCCTTCGTGAAGTGGATTACGGTAAGAATTGAAAGGTCGTGGGGCAATATGGAGAAACACGTGGGACCCAGCAGCATTTCCAGCACTTGACTAACTGGCTCAGTGCGTTCTAAAGAGAGCAAACCTAGCGAATCTGTCTGTTCTCAGATGCAGTAAACACAATAATCCTCCTTAACTGGAGGATAAAGGACCAACGCTGCTTTTGGAGCTCAAAGCAGCTTTGTAATTCTTAAGATGTGTACTTCGGCGGCAGAAAGGCATAAACTAACAGACTAAAAAGAGATAGATGAAATTGGGATTGCATCAGGATGTTATTCCAGCTTTAAAAAGTATGCTAAATTTCAATACGTTCCTCAAACATAAAACTTTGAAGTTAAGCATTATTCACTGCCTGAATATTGCAAAGATTTCTCTACTGGTTAGATATCTTACTGCTCCTAGAACTAAACTTTTAATATTTGATTAACATTAGCAGCTCAAGATGCAAACTAAAGTGCTTTGTGGAGGGGGGGATAATTTTTGTTCCCTCTTAGCACTTTTCTCAGTCAGGGTTAACTTCTGGATGGATTATAGAGAAGCCTGAATGCTGAGGAGCTAAGCACAGTTTCGGTGGGGTAGGTTTCAACTGAGTTCTAACCTGATGCAAAATATCTACATTTCATTTTTCTCAAAAGAAACTTTGTACAAGTTCCTACTGCCCAACCCCATGGCAAACATTGACAGCTCTATTTGACAAAAGAAGTTTTCTGTTGAAAATTTTGCTTTTCTTTATATGCATATGTCAGCAATTAAGTAGCAGTGAAAGTTTAGGCTGTGGGAATGAGAGACTCCAGCTGTGGTAATCCTACCTCTAGCTGAAGAGGATTTGAAGTATCTGCATTCTCAGTGAAGAAGGAGCAGTAGGTCATGTGCTAGGGTGGGTAGAATTGTTGCAGCTGCGTACTACATGACTTCTCTCCTGATCCCACCTCCCAATCTGTTTTATGTTGCCTTTCTGTTGCTGTTCATTCTAAGCTGTAGATGCTTTTTACTCGTCATCCACTAAATTAATCCACACCCTCTGCAGCTGCTCTCCGGCCTTTTAATAGCAAATAGCTATGAACAATTATCCTCTGAATCTTTTGTGCATGCAGTCATCACCATGAGGTCACACCCATGCTACTAGGTTACAGGGTATTGAACTGCACCAGTTGGAAGTGTTGGCCTTCCCAGTTATTGCACACATCTCAGTTAGATTGAGGAACTTCTGCACTGATATGGAAGGTCCACCTCCCTAACTGTCCAACGCCTCCCTGATGCAATCCATGTTGACTCCATGGGTGTGACACCTTGGAAACTTGAAAAACAGAGCTTCCTCTGAGAAACAAATGCTGATGTCAACAGGAATTGTGGGTGGCAATTCCTGTAGGATTCATTAAATCAGTAAGTTAGGATTTTGCTTGCATGTATCACTTCCTTTTGATGGAAAAAATGTCGACTCAAAGTGATGTAAAAGTGTTGTGGCTTCTTCTAAACGCCTCATCAAAAATAAAATCATTTGCACTGCCTGCAGTGATGTTTTTTCACTGTGTCTCAGAAGCCCTTTCCAAGCTAGCAGAGCTGCTTTCTGGATCATGTCAACCAGTTCTAAGACTCCTCCACTGCTAAGGAAGCTGCACTGCTACTCCCGTCTCCCCCAGGTAGACTTTTCACCAGTGAGAAAGATTTTCCTCTCTTTGGTGATAAGACCATACATGAATCACACCCACACCACTTTGTGCTGGTAATGAAATTCTCTCACTGATGATTATACAGCTTGGAGGAAAAAGGAAAATATCAGATAAACCTCATAATTGCCAGAAACCAATCCATTAAACCTACTAAACAGACTATGTACCTGGAAGCAATCTTGATCTCACTATTTTGTAACTGGGTAATGTGCTTAGAGGAAAAGCAGTATATGTAGTAGAAGTAGCTTTCATGCTGAGGTGTAAGCGGTATTTTCTTTTTTTCAGTCATTGATGGTTCCATTGACTAGTGTTTAATAGTGTGATCCAATTTTAAATCCATATTCTCTTGAAGTTAGATTTTTTTTAATGTTCCAGTTCTCATCTTTATTGCCCTTTGATATTTTATAGCTGGAGTTGTTTATGAGGTTAATACCTTGTCTAGAAGCTCAGTTCTTCTAGTTTTAGGCCTTTCATTGTTGATACACTCTGGCCCTGCTTTTCCCTGTTAGACATGTATCAATTCTCTATATGAAAACATGGGTAGCGTGTAAAATACTAATGATGGTTGTTGTTAATTACTGTACCTCAATCAGGCAGATTCGTAGCAGCTGTCCATATAATTGTGCAGGTATGTAAAGGCAGAGCTGAGTGGCAGCAAGCCAGCTTTTAGGAGTTGCCTTTTCTTAGTGGAAAAACAGACTCAAATGAAGAATGCACCTCACTCTTTCCTCTAGAACTCGCAGGCTTTCTTGGGAAGGACAGAGCTTTTGTAAACTATACACTTTTTGCCTTAACCCCCATTGACATGCTAGCTTTCTGTCAACAAATGAAACAAAAGTAATTATCTTATTGATTTCCATAGAGGGACTTTCAGCATTCCCTTGGTACCTCTTGGCCTAAAGGAAACCAAAGAAGTAGACTTTACGCTCCCCCTGAAGGTAAATTTCATATTTCAGAATAAATAGTTAATGGAGTAATTTCCACTTCAGATTTGTTTGAAGAAGTAGTTTATGTATAATTTTGTTGTTGTATTTGTCTTAGAACTGAGATCCCAACGTGTTTAAAAATTACCCAGCGATTAACTGGGCTGTTGCCCTGCGCCTTAATTTACATTCCTGTGAAAAGAGAAGTGGGCATGCAGAAGCTGGTGTACTCAGTGGAGATGAAGGTTTTAACATCTGTGCAGTGCTTCACACGCACTAAGCACCACGTCCTTTAAGTCAGGCAGATCTTCCTTGTTGAGAAGCTCTAACAGTCTAAACAATGTAAAAGAATTTTGTGTAATTTTATTCTTCTCAGCCTGCGGTGAAACTATGGGATGGTTTTGTCCCTCTAGGGATATTTAGATTCTGTCTTTATTTTCAGACTTATGTTTTATGTTTTAGGTGCAGGAGCGCTTTAAGCGTGTGTGATCCTAAGTAGCATGTGACTTGAAAAAAACAATTTCTTCAGTTTTTTGTTCCCCTAAGACTGGTGATTCCCCTAAGGCTACTCCAGATGCCAAAGGAAGCAGTAACAATGATTGTACTGAGCATAATACAGTGATATTCCAGTTTCCTCTAGCCAAGCCAGCTCAGTTGGGAAGCTGTGTGCATAATTATCACTGCTTGTTGTGGGCTTTGCCAGCTGTTTGTGCAACCTTCTGTATTTTTGGACTACTGTGTATTGCACAATGCAGATTTTACCTCATGGAAAACTGCTTCTTGTATAACCATAAAAGTTGCTGCTTTTACATCTGCAGGTTAATTTGTATGCCAGGTTATTGAGCCTTTGCAACTTATGGCATTGCAACTATGTAATTTCAGTGGAATTGACAAGAATTTGGCAGTGTCTTTCTGTTAACAAGTTTTTTATGGTCACTTGATTCCCTTGTTATTTTAACACACAGAGTTCATTTGTCCTTTTCAAAACCATTACATGCTGTTGTTTTAAAACTCAGTGGAGTTGATTTAATGATTTCCTGATTCATTTACACCTTTTCTAGGACTTTATTCTGGAACATTATAGTGAAGACAGTTCAGAGTATGAAGATGAAATAGCAGACCTCGTGGATCTGAGACAAGTAAGTTTACGTATGGCATCATGAGATTTCTTCCATGAGGTCTTCTAATCTAAAGTCATAAATAATAACATTTGCATAGAATCAGTGTATGTTTTGTAGCTTACCATGTTCATATTGACTTCATTTCTGAGAAATGGAACGTGAATCTCTGCTGTCCCATAGCTTTACAATCTTACGTCTCCAGTATCATACATACAATTTCTTTGTACCTTTCATAAAATACCTGCAATCTCAGTTTAATTAGCTGCAGGACTTGCCAAACAGAACCTTCTTTCTATAAAGATTATGTGCTGCTTTGTGCAAAAGAAGACAGAAATAAAAACTTCTTTGCAGTTCATCCATATGGCCTCAAGCTTACTGTTCTCACATTCCCCACATTTCTGTGGTACACAGAAGTCCAGAGGAAGTAGAGCTTTATCCTTGGCATTTCAGTATTCATTCTGTAACCCAAGCAAATGCACCATATTCTGATTTGTTGCATTTTAAGGCCTGCCGCACTCCTAGCCGTGATGAAGCTGGCATTGAGATGTTGATGAGCTATTTCCTTCAACTTGGTTTTATAGAAAACAGATTTTTCCCACCTACCAGACACATGGGAGTGTTATTTACATGGTAAGTGTGGAGTTCATGTTTGTTTGTTTCCACCCCCCAGAGCACCGTTAATCTTTAACTGTCTTCAGCTTAGTTTGAAGCATTTCTGTGTTTTCCCCACCCTCATCCCACTGTTGTCAGTGTTTGTTTTTGTTTTTAATATGAAGTGTAAACCTGACTACAGTGTAGCCCTTTTCATGCTGTGTTAAATTATGATCTGGGTTACAGGTTTACACAAGGGAAAAAGAACATAATTTTAGACAACTGCACATATTCTCCTGGACTCTGAACTTTGTTGCCTGAAGCAGATGGGGGTCAGACCTTCCTTCAGTTTGTTGGGTATTTGGGCCAGGAGTGAAGAGTGACTTACTTTATTATAGTGGAGTGTTTGCTAAATGTTTATTGTATGTATGAAGAAGGATGGACTCCTGAATTCAGAATTTTGATTTTTTTGATTGCAAAAAGGGGACAAATGCAACGCAGCCAAGAAGAGCCATTGTATTCCCAGTCTAACTGCAAAAAGGAACTTCAAAATACTTGCTATAGGGTCTGACCATGCCAGTAGTTAATGCGTGGCAACATTTAATAGTGCATCCTAATAAAAGCTATGAGAACACAGAGACCACATAGGAATACTTCCCCAGTATGCTCTCAGCCCCTGAAAAGTTTTATAACATGCTTCTGGAGACCCTGCTTAAAAGCCTTTTGAAAGTTAAGGCTTAAATACATTCTCTGTTTTGCTCTAGTCTGTGGCACTAGATTGTCCTCAAAGAACACGATGGTATTTCTAGCCACCTTTTATTTTCACTGCAGCAGAACAGCTATTAGGAATTACACTGTTCTTTTGGAAAAACAGAACAACAGTATCTGTAGTTCAGTGGACTCTGCACATCGTAACACGTATTCTCATTATTTTTCCAAAGGTATGATTCCTTCACAGGTGTTCCTGTGTGTCAGCAAAATCTGCTGCTGGAAAAAGCGAGTATTTTATTCAATATTGGAGCCCTCTACACCCAGATTGGAACAAGATGCAATCGTCAGACCCAGGCTGGACTTGAAAATGCTGCTGATGCTTTTCAGAGAGCTGCAGGTAGAGATGCATAAAAACTAGGAAGAACTTCATGCAAATGTTTCTAATCTCAGCCTGACTTCCTGCAGATTTCTGCATTTCCCACTGACTTTTTTACACAGAAAAGATGGAATAGGGAAATTTGAGAAGCCTAGTGAAGGACTGAGATGAAGCTTTAATTCAAAACCTGGAAATGCAGTTCAAGCATGCTGGTAACAATGAATGCTGCGGTTAACGATTAACGAGCTGTAGTTCAAAGGTCTGAGTAATAGCCCTAATGCTGTTTCATTTTGTTCATTCTTTGTTTCATGTCTATAGCTGCTCTAACCTCAGTCATACTACGCTGGACAAGAAACAGTTTTAAAGGATGATAAAATGCTTAGAACCTAACTTTTCATATGGTCTCTTCATAATTAATCTCGCTTTGTTGTCTGGTGAAACTTGCAATTCATTTCAGTTTGACTGCATATTTTCCATGGAATCCAAAGGCGAACTTGGAAAACAATCTCTCTCTCAAGCAAAGAAAAATGAAAATTTTTCTAATGAAGGGAATTGGGTGCCCTAAAATAACATTACAGAAGCTGATGTTTTTTCTTCGAGTAGATTTTCTAATTTTTTGTAAATGTCATCTGTACCACAAATACTGCTTAAAGGCATTACCTACGTAATTAACACAGACTGTCAGATATTTTTGTGAGCAGCTGTTTTTCACTGTATTAGTAGCTTTAACAGCCACAAATTGTGGACTCCTTTTGAATACATAGAATGGCTATCCAGAAGATCTCCAATGTTTCTTCATGCATTTGTTAAATAGATTTTGGTTTTCAATCTTTGTATTTCATTTACAAGAAACTTGAAAGAAATTTCTCCATTCTGCTGCTACTTCTTCCATTTTGCAAGAAAAGTAACTGATTCTTACTTCAGCATATTTACAGAGCAGAACTAATTCACAAATTGAAATGCATCATCTGTACCACAGTACCTTTGCGGGGCCCCGAAGCGGAGCGCTGCAGCAGCGTTTCACTGTACCTGTGTGTGATGTAGAACATGTGCTAACCATTGCTCTGTTCTGAATGGAAATTGTTGCACAGAATTTATCCTCAACAAAGCTTTCAGTGTGTACAAGGTCCCATGTAAGCAGAACTGTGTTGAGAACCAAAAAAAAGGGTTTTTTTTTCCTGTACTTCCAGTTGCTTTCAGTTGGGTACTCGGTCAGTACGTGGTCACACCATGCAAGAGATGTAGAGATGGCCAAATTTGTGTGAGGATGTACAAGATAAAAGATACCAACATCACATAGAAATTGAAAAATACCAGAAAGTGGTGGTAGAAAACATACTGCAACATGGCAGAACAAAAAGAAATGATAAGATGTGAGATTACAGAAGGTGGGACGCTTAGAAAGCAGAGGCCTTATCATTACACTTGGTAGCGTTATCAGCAATTAGCAGGCGAGTAGAACCAACTAAAACAGTTGGATGACGTGCGTGCTGAGGTTACACTTTTGTCCATGAACCTGTTACTTAATATTTGCACTACAGTTGGTGTTTGTTTCTAATTTGATAAATGATAAAAGTGATTAGGATGTTGATGGAACCAAACATCTAGAACAGAGCCTTATTTTTCCCTATTAAATATATTGTTCTAGTTTACTTAAAGGGATGGAACTGAGCTTTTATTCAGATACACTGTGAATTTAGCAGCAGCTACAAAGGAGACATAATTAGTAAGTTTAAATACATTTTTCTCCCACCACTGAAAGGTTCTACTTGTGCAGATGTTTTTTGTTTCTTGTCCTGTATGTAGGTCTGGCCTACCATTCCCATATAAAAATTGCATTCAGTTCAGCATAGCTTTCTGGTCAGTGCCAAGAATCATTACAGGCAAATCTGAAAGTACTTCTACCCTTAGAAGCTGTAACTTCTGGTGCTCTCCTGAATTGTGATTTTGAGATCTGTGTGTTTTATAGGAATGTAAACCAAAATCAGTAGGTCACTTTAATTTCTGCGTGCACCAAGAATTCCTCAGATTGCTATAGTTCAATATGAGCAAGTATGTTTTCAATCTTCTTATCATACATGGTAGAATTAAGATCAGTTCTTTCTGTTTTTGTAATGCCAACGAATAATGTTGTCATTTCAGGAGTCCTAAGCTACTTAAAGGAGACCTTTACTCACACACCAAGTTATGACATGAGCCCAGCTATGCTGAACGTACTCGTGAAGATGATGCTTGCTCAAGCTCAAGAGTGTGCTTTTGAGCAGATCAGTCTCCCTGGAATACGCAATGAGTTTTTCACACTAGTGAAAATGACACAGGAAGTTGCCAAGGTAAAATAAGAGCCTTCATATCTACTCTTTCAAAATAAGTATTTCCACTGCTGAGTTACAAGATAAAGCCTCTAGGAATATTATCAGAATTTGTTAAACCTAAATGTTAACAACCACTACTGAAAACCCAAAGTAGCAAGGGACAGCACTGAAGTTGTATTGAGAATTGCAACCCTTCAGAAGATGAAAACGTGAATACCTGCAATTCAATTATCATTACATTAGAATTATTAACTATTATTCAACTTAACTATTTTAAGTTGAATAAAAACATCTAAAGAACACTTGGACAGCAAACTTGTCAAAGGATTTTTCAAAAGCAGTTTACTATATTGTTCTTTCAAACAGTACAATCTTGGCCACAGTTCAACACAGAAAGGGGCAGGGTTGTTTGCGGGTCCTTCCATTAACTGCTGAACGCTCAACCTGTCCATAATTTCCCGACAGCTTGAGGTTATGCAAACTTAAGAAGCTAAAGTCCAAAAGAAAAACTGAATTGTGACTGGGAGAAGGATGCAGAATGAGATTGGTAGGTAGTGCAAGGCTGTCTTGGAACTCGTATGAAAAATGGAGTGGTGGGCTGTGCCTTAGAAGGTTGAATTAATTCTTGATATTGTTGACATCAAAATGAGGATAGGCCAACAGATCTGGATATGCTTTCTGAGCCAGATGTATAAATGGCTCCATACTAGCTAACATAGGCAAGGCCTTTCCTACCAACCCTGCAAAGCTGCCATGAATTACTTCTAGAGTTGTTAAGTAGCAGGGAAAGATTTGGGGATTCAATTAAAGCAGCATTTACTGCTGGAAAAGCTATTTCCATAAAGGATAAAAAGGAATCAAGGATAGCAGCCAGATTTAACTTGACCATACAAACTTAAGGGTGGATGTGACTCCACAGTTTCAGAAGTGAAGTGCAAATCTAGTAAAGTAATTGACATATTGAACTCTCTTAGCTGAATTAACATGATGAAATGTATTTGCAAATTAAGTTTATTATATGGCATTTTTGTGGAACTCTGAAGCCATATTGATCAACTAACTTAATCCACCTGTTCTTGTACAGAATCAGTTCTTGTTTTTTTGTGAGAAAAAGAAATCAGAGGTGGAATTTCATTTTTTCTTAAAACTTTGTTTCAATCCTTTTCAACAGCATTTGTAGCTTTTTCTTTTTCTCCTCTTTGATGAGATGCATGTGAAATTGTCTTAAGGCTTAATATAATATCCCTTGATTGAGTAGCTGAGCTCCTACCAAGTAATGTTAACTCTCATACTTCAATTCTATGCTTTGTTTTAGGTGGGAGAGGTTTACATGATGGTTAACACTGCAGTGACTCAGGAACCAGTGAAAGAAAATATCCCGTATTCCTGGTCTAAACTGGTACAAATAAAAGCAGACCACTACAGAGCTCTGGCACATTACTTCCTTGCCACCATTCTGTGTGACCATGAATGTAAGAATGGTAGATTTATTATATATTCATATAAAGAACACCAACAAATGCAATAAACAATTATAATTTCTGTGAATAAGACAAGGAGCCTGGAACTTTGTGATTTCAATCTGTTATTTTGTGGTCATTTCTTGTTCAAATACAAGGCAGTCTTCTTTGTCCTTCACAGAAGAACGAAAATTCAATACACATACTTTTGCAGAAACAGAAGATATGTTATATCCATTAATCCATTATATGCTACTAAGTTGTTCAATTCTTGTGATTCTGTTCTGATATATAAGCGTTTTTGCATCCTGATAAAACTTACATGAGCTGTAAAAACTGGAAATTCACATCAGTATATATCTGTAAAATATTTGATCAGATTTGCAAAGAAAGTAGTAGCTAATGCACAACAATACACCTAAAGGAGTGGGCTATGAAGAGATGTTCAATGACTAAAATTCTGTGTCAATTCTTGTAGTGCAGTCCAATGATGATGAAGATCAGCAGGAAAAAGCCTTATCTCAGCTGTATGACTACGTCCCAGAAGGTGTGATGATTCTCACCATTTTAAAGGACAAAGTTCAGAGAAAACAACTAGGTAATTGCCAGTGTCATCCGGCTAATGTATAAAAGATGAAAATAATCTTTTCTTTTTGCATCTGTGGAAGACAACTCAGTTCTGGTTTTTTTTTTCAGGGAAGGCCCATTTACACAAAGCCATTGTTTACCACGAAGAAGCTCTAAGAGTCTGTGGTTTGTGCAAAAAACTTCGAAACATTGAAGTTCTTCTGGAGGTTCTGACAGCTGCACATAAGCGCTCACTTCTCAAATATGCTCAGCAGGAGACAGAAGATGACTTTCTCAGTCTAATCCAGGCTCCAGATATTCTTCGTAAGTATCCACAGTGAGAAATAAAGGCATCTAACAGAGTGTTTCATGATGATCCCCTTCAGGGGACTAACAGAATAATCTTCAGATCACACTAAGAAATCTAGGAAAGGCTTGAAAGAAAAAAGGAGGAGGTAGATAATGGATGTGCCTGAAGGAGGTAAAAAAGATGGTGTTAGAAGATGAATTAAGACCTACTAGCAATGGTAGCAATAGTGTGCTCTGTTATCTGTTGTGGCATGAAATATTTGCATGAAGGATGAGATAAGTACTTGCACGGGGATATGACTTTATTATACAATTTCTCTAATATTAAAATATATTTAGATGTTTACTTATCTGATTCTGTGATACATGTGTATGTACATGTATGCATACGCATATAAAGAGGACAATATCAGTGTTTTGTTGGAAAGGATTATTTTAAACTTTCTGTATTGATATTATGATTTCTGAAGGTATTTTTTAAGGTGATTTAAAAATTTGTCTTGCACATTTCCACAAAAATTAGGTTTTCTACTAGTAAGAATTTAAGGTAAATTTCTATCTAGCTTAGAACACAAGAAATTCATGTCTTAACTAATACTGGAGAGAAAATGAATGTGCTTTTCTTTTTGTTTTAGCTAAAACAGAGCATAAAGTAGAAATGGTTGCTCCTCAGTTTTCCAAGGTGAAAGTTGAAGACTTTTTTCACAGACTGGTATGTAACATGCTAATGCCCACCAGCCTCTCATGCACGTTATGTGTAACCATCAGACAAGAAAGCACTACATGCTTACTGCTGTGTTACCTGCAGGGCCCGCTGTCAGTGTTCTCAGCCAAGCAGAGATGGACGGCTCCACGTACCATTCACTTCCACTGTGAAACAGGAGAGCTGGGATTCAGCCTTAAAGGAGGTTCACCAGTACAGATTTACTGTCTTGATCCAGTTTGTTCTGCAGCAGTAAGTAGATTGGTGCAATATTAATGATTTATCTTTAGCACTGCAGTCTTTTAAAAGTGGTTTTAGTTTGTTCATATCTGTGTATGGAGTATTTACTGAGATCTAGTGTGTGTCAGTGTAGTCAGTTAATGCAATCTGGACACACTTTTAGTACAGTATACACCTTAGTTGCTAGAGAATCTATATCCTTGACATCACATTACACTACTGTACATTTCTTTCATTGTTTTCAGTAGATAGAAAGTCCCAAACATAAAAAAGCAAGTATGTTATTCCCCATCTAATTTGGGAAACTGGAAGAAACAAAGAAAAGTAGCTACAACAGTAAGGATGAGGCTCAGGATGTACCCGAGGAAAAAGAACACTTAAGTGGTTTTTGATATGTTGTTGTTTTATGAAAGGGAATCAACACACTGAGGTTACTACAGCATAGTTACAGCAAAGGCAGAAGCAACCACATGATACAAAAAAGCTGACAGAATAGAAATAGAAACTGGAGAACATGCCTCATGGGAATGATAAGATAACAGAAAAACTTGGGATTTAACTTGGGAGAAAAAAAAAGGATGTAAAACTAGCCAAGAGAATACCAAAATCGCATGTATCAACAGTAACTCCACAAAGTATGTAATTTCTGTACTTGAAATATCTGCATCTTTTTATGCTAGTTATAAGTTTTTGTTCCACATGTCTGACTAGACAGTTGCTTCATGGCTACTGTGAGGGAAATGCCTTTAGGGCAAATACTGCCTGATGACAAGAAACATTTTACGTGCCTTTATAATTCCTGATAGTAACTCATGCACAATTTTTGACAGTCAGCGGGCCTAAAAGAAGGTGATTACATTGTTTCAATTGGTGGAGTGGATTGCAAATGGCTTGGAGTGAATGAGGTTCTGGAAAAATTCGAAAGTGTGGGAGAGCAGCCCATTGAGGTTGAGGTTATCAGCTGCCAGGATACAACAGCATCTGTGGTACGTAATGAGGCAAATACACTTGTGGATTTGATGTGGGAGGCTTTTGTTGGTTTTTTTTCCCTCTGGCTTCAGACCTTGATTAATGTTTACTTTCAATTCACCTAGATATCCCACTTTGCAAGTGAACAGATAGTGCATTTAAACATCTGGTACTTTTTAAACAGTCCATTTAAAATCAGTAGAACTTGCATCATGACTTAGAAAGCTAAAGTGAAGTCTGTGTGCATAAGAATGGTTTGGGGCAGATTTTTTTTGTTGTTGGCAGCTTTACTTTTGTGTCTGTGTGTTAGTGGAACTACTGGGATTAAATATGCCCTAGAATTCATATTGCAATTAATTTTCCCCTAACTTGTTGCAGAGAATTTAAAAAAATTACCATCCTGTATGGCACAAGAAGAGCCATAGTGAAACAATAATTGAGTGCAGTAGAGCATCCAAGTCTACATGCTCCTTTTCTATTTGCTGTTAGCATAAATGACCTATATCATTTGTAGAAGAATTTACAGATCGGTGTATGTTTTTATCTTGGGGTATTTTAACTGTCTAGTCAGTCACAAAACTGCCATAGAAACTTTAGACTAAGGAAATGTGATCACAAGTTTAAAAAACGTTAAGCCCTAAAAACATTATTTGTGGTAAGGGAACATGTAGTTCAGCTAAATCCAGTGCTTCATGCCTCTAGCATTTCCTGGCAAGCTTAGACACTAGAATGCTTGTTGCCTTAAAAGTGATCAAGGTGCCCTCACTGCCACTGGATTTCCTTGTTTGAAATTCATTTTCCTTACTGACCACAAGGAATTGCATGCCTGTCATTCCAAGCTGCTGCTGGACACAAAAGGGCTACATTACAATCAGGCACGGCTAAGAAAAGGCAGAGGGCTGCGCCTGCCAGATAACCCAAAACGTTCTACATTAGCACTTGTAATAGCTGCAGTCAACATGGAGTTTGTTCAGAGCATTTACCAAAAACTCTAAAGACTTTCTGGACTCCAGGGACAACAGAGACTCGCCTTGAGGGATTAGTGCAAGAGCTGCATGCCCAAGTGTTGTAGAGAGGTTGCTGTATATGTCATGCAGCACTTACTGGCTTTTGTGTAACTGTAACAGCACCACCACTGTACAGGGACTTGTGAATCTTTTAGATTTGCACAGTAAACCCCTTCAGTCTGCAAGGGCAAAATACCAGAAATCCCAGCGCGCTGAAGGACTTTGTGTTCTGTACTAATTAGCACAGAATGCTTGCTGTAGTCTGCCTTGGAAAACTATTTGCACAGTAATCTTTTGTTGCCTTCAAATTGTTGACCCATTTTCAGTGACTGGTGCTTATAATTCTTCTCTCTTTCCTACAGCATAACAAGAGTGCCACTTACTCTGTGGGAATGCAGAAGACATACTCCCTGATCTGTTTAGCCATGGAAGAGAACAAGACTGATCAGGCTAAGAAAGCCCCACTCAAACTGCCTTTTCTAAGCTGGGGAACTAAAAACAGACAGAAGTCTGCAAGCACCCTCTGCCTTCCTTCAGCTGTGGCTGGAAGTTCTCAGGTTAAGAAAAAGTTTTCTCCCTTCACGTTTCTGGGTACAGAAAGTTCACTGTACTGAATCTTTCTGAAGGAGCCATGAAGTTTTTTCTTTTAAATGTATATAAAACACATTGATCAATGTTATCTTTATCTATACATGTGTATAACTTCAGACAAGTGCCACTGACTTCACTTACTATGAAGATCAGAGTTTGGCAGAAACTGTAGAACTGGAGTCAATTTGAAGGTTAGAACAAAATGGTTTGAGAGATGGAAAAAAGTTTGTTGATGATTAAATGGCTTGCAGAGACAGGATTCCTTTGGAATTTCAAAATACAGTATCATCACCAATTTTTGTAACTATTGTAGATGGGAGTTATTTATTACAAACTTGATGCTGCATGCAAAACAGTAGGGAACACAGTGAAGGATGATTTTGCTGTAAAAATGTAGAGTTCATAATAAGTTGCTTAACACTACTTCACAGAATTATCTTAAAGAACAAAGGAGAGAGGAAGCTGTTACAGAAAATAGCTTTCTGCAAAGGGTGGTCTAACAGTTGTTTTTATGCATAAACGTTCTCTGAGAGCACGAGGTATATTCTGTGGAATAGCTGACATGACTTAGCAACAGAATTAGAAGGCTCAGAAGTCATACAGTCTTTTGAACTACAAAGGACTTTGACTCTGCTCTTTTCTGATCGAGGTTACGTGTGCATTATTAAAAACAGGTTGTTTGCCAGACTTGAAATTATTTAACCTAGTTACAAGATGATCTGCATTTCATTACTCTTGTTAAAATTGATAGTTGTGGAACAAATCTCAAAACTGACATTTTCTAGTATATTGACCAAGAATATGTAAGTTGTAGTGACACTTTCAAAACATGAGGAAAAAAAGTCCTTAGAAATCACAGTGGGAGACTATTATTGTGCCAGGTAAGAAAACTGATATGAAATCTTCTACTTCTTGGAACATCTCATGAGCATGTATTGACAAGGAGATGAAAAACCTCTGAGTATTTCTGCTAAACTCTTCTATTTTATGAAATTAATTGAAAGTTGCTAACACTTTAGTGTTAGTTAATGTTGCTATCTACAGAGTAGATATTTGCTGTTTGATACTCAAAACTTATGGGAAAGCTTGTGTCTGGGTGTAAACTTCAGAGGTGTCATTTTTAGTTTCTTAATAATAGGTGTAAATATGTTAATGACTTATTTAAGAATAAAAATCAGATGCTGCCATTGGGTAATGACTCTTTGATTCTACTGCTGCTTGGAAAATAAAACGTGTTACAAGTTTTTACTACTTTCTGGTACCATACCCCTGCAGGTTTCTGTAATGCTCCTTTCAATAAAAGTATCTCCATTCCTTAGGTCTCTCAGCTGCATGCCTTCCCCTTCCCACCATCACTGGTCCCTGAGGAAACACAGGGCTGGGGGCCTTCTTCACACTCGAGCAAAAATTGGGGCTTTAAGTGCCATATGAATCCATATTTACTACTTTCTAGCAGCTATTTAAAGATTAACTTTACAGTGAGTGGCAGGCAATAGCTAACAAGATAAATACTCATTTCACAGCAAATTAAGACTTCAGCACTTTCATCATATGCTTCTAATGATATGGAATATACAAGGCTATTTTAAAATCCTATAAAATCAAAGTTTGCCACAGATTAATGCTTCAGCCTTTAACTTTGTTAGTACTAGTTTTTACTACATCAGTTGGAATTTATTTGGTGTACTGAGCCAGGTGGTCAATGGAAGAAGTGCAGAATGTACTTTGGTGTTTGCCTTGCAGTATCAATAGCCACACACGTTTTGGGTGTGAAATCCAGTCTCCATAGCAACATCAGTAACCAGTGACAGAAAAAAGCTAAAACATTTATAATGAAGCTCAAGTATTCCCTAGTGAGAAAATAGTATCTTGTTTTCTAGTTGTGGAAATTCTGATGTTTACTATCAGTACATAAAATAATGTAAAGCCATCTTGTAACTGTATTTTCAACCCAAGAAAGGAATCAGTGTAGGTAACAAATCCATCATCGCATGGATGATTAAGTTGGTTACAGAGGTTCTCTTAATGAACAGGAACTGAAAACTGCTCAACTGCCTTCCTGCTGTAATCCAAAACCCAAGTGATAGGATTGGAACTTACAACACCTCCTTAACGGGTGCATAGCAACAATAAAAATTACTAGATGAGATACCACTTAAAATATAATGCTATATGTCAGGAACACCAGTCCACTTCATAAATAACTCCTGATTAGTACTGGAAGCACAAGATACAGAACGGTCAAAGCTTCCCACATATGGTAGTTGCTATATTTAATGCCATAATTAATCATCCCAACCTATATAGAAAAGCATATTAGTGCCTAAAATCTTAGTTAATTTGATACAAAGGAATAAATTTGGTAACATCCTTTGGAGTGAAAAAAGAACTAGGGAAACGAGTTAGTGTAGTCAAAGATGTATTTAGGCAGCACTAAACACAGCGTGATGTTTGAGAAGCCCTGTCATACACAGACAGGTGGAAATAAACAGCTAAAGCAAACTGTGGAGCCGATACCAAGTGCTGCATTGCCTTGCTGGTTGTGACATGAAGTAATCACTGTACTCAGCTGTGTTTCCCAGCAGTGTACAGTGCAAGAAATGTTTGATTTAAAAGGTCCTAAAAACCAAACAAACAAACATACTAACACCAGCAGTGTGAATTGATCTCTTACCAGTTACTTAATGTAACAGTTACATAAATCCCAAGGCAGTATGACAGCATTACCTTCATCTGAAACTTAATACACAAAAGAGCACAGTTCTAAGGAGGATGGTACAAGTTTATATCCAAACGACCAGAACAGCTATAAAGAGGAGAGCAAGCCAGGTGATTACTCAGCACCCTCTAGTTGTTGCTGAGATTATAGAAATTACCATAGTAAGTTATCGTTGAGAACAAAACTTCAGAATTCACAAGAAACAGATGCAGTTTCTCAAGAACAGCATAATATGCAAGTCAGGAACCCAAAAATGTGTGGATTTGTTGTGCCACTGTTGGTCCAACTACGAGCTCGAGTTCTTTGACAGATGCATTACAAATCTGATGGATGCTTCCAAACTGTTGCAGTAGAAGCAGAGCTTTCGTTTTCCCAACTCCTGGGATTTGTTGCACTGTCCGAAACACTGACGCCTCAGCCAGCTGTGAGCATTGCTTACGCAGAAAGGGGTTACTGGTGTGATCCTTACTTTGTTCACGGACCTGAAGCAAAACAAAACCATAAGCAACACCAAATGCCCTCTACTGGAGCTCTGTATTTTTGCTTCAGTGCATACCCACAAAGCCTCACCAGGAAACTCAACGGTTTCTTAACTTAAATAATGAATTCAAGCAATTGATGCAATCAAGAAAGAATTAAGTAAAAAAGAGAAACAACCTAAGAAATTTCTTCAGCCTGACACAAAGCAAGAAAAAAAATAATCACAAGTTGGTTTTGACGGACAAGTATGGATTTCCTGGTGCTATCCAGTGGCATCTCAGTGCTAGATCACATACAAAAAATACAGTATCAACTTCTTCCATTTTTTTTCCTTTGCTTCTTCCTCCTACTGACCTGCACTACCTATTAGCATTTTAGGACCAAATGTTGGGCTCCCTTGAAATCACATATGTTTTTTCCACAAAACAAGTCATGATTGAGTGGAAAATAGGTAATTTTCTGCCTGTATTATATATGAAGTGACTCTCCACTAACATTAGAACTTACAAGTTGAATAATAAGTTGAGACGCTTCTTCTTGATTTGCCACAGGAACCAACGCCATTCCAAGTTGCAGCACAACGAGCTTTTGCACTGCTGAGAAGTACTGCTCACTTATTGGAGTCTTCTCGACAATCACAATTCCACCAAGGCTGCTGGCCTATATTGAAGGGGGTGGGGTGGGAAAAAGACCTCATTAAAAAGCTGATGTGACGCAGCACAGAACCAACCTGTCAAATGTGACTTAGACAGAAGCCAGTCAGAGGAAAAATGAAAGCTGCACAAGCAGCATTGAAGCTAAATAAAGCATTATTACACCGATGTGTAATCTTTCGGTTTTCGGTATTTCAGTGGAAATACCACAGAATTTTAGCTCCACCAGAAATAAGAAAAAGTCACGATGTGAATGTTTTCAGAAGCACGGAATATGCAAGCTGCAATTGGAAACTCTTCCTCTTCTCCTGTGGTACTTACATTCCTAAACCGCACCAATCTCCGCTTGAATTCATCCCCTGCAACCAAATCTGCTTCAGAAATATATAAAACACAGATTCTGTTGGAAAGATGGAAATCCACGAGTCCCAAGCCATCTTCAAAGACGAGTTTAGTTTTCCCTTAAGGTTAAGAATAAAAAATACAGCAATTTAAAGACACACACAAGCACTTAGCCACGCAGCTCTCCCGATACGCCAATAATTCTGTTGGCTCGGCTACCAAACTCACTTAGCAGTCGTTCTTCTCTTCAAGTAAAACCTGCTCGAGGAAGCTAAACCGATACCTTTGACAATACCGATTAACAGCTCTTTGAAACTACAGATTCCAGGCGGCCTCTCGACACACTTCGGCCTTGCAGAACCCTGCACCCTGCCGTACCTCGGTGGAGCTGCAGCCAGCTGCTCAGCGGCAGCACCGCAAACACGGCATTCATCACAGCCACGAACAGCTGTTCGTCTTGCTCAGATGTGGCTACGACCGAATAAAGCGCATTCCAGGAAGTTCGGCACCAGCGAGGAACAGAGAGCCGCTGTTCCCTCTCACCTTGCAGCCTGCGGGCCATCTCGGATCCCCTCCACTTCTCGTTCCCAACCACGTGTCCGTAAGGAACAACCACGGATCCCGCCGCGGCAGGGAGGTTTCCTTTGGCCGTCATCGGACCTCCCTCACCCTTTTACTTCAGCAGCAGTTACGCTCTCTGAAAAACGCGGAAGGGAATTTATAACTCCACAGGCCAGCCGACAGAGCAGAAGCCCCGCTTTCCTCAGCAGCAGCAGCTGCAAACTGCCCGCCTCGCAGCGCGCGCCTGACTGAAGGCGCCAGGCGCGAAAGAGGAAACGAAGCTCCACCGCCGAGAGCGAATGAGGAGGCGGATGGGGGCGGGGCTTGCCTCTGGTAGGTTGCTATGGCCGCAGTAAGGCGCGCGCCGATTGGCGGAGCGCAAATTCCCAGCAAATCCGCCGCGCTGTTGCTGGCGGGTCGGGCGTGCTGGGAGAAGCGTCCGCAGGAAAAGCGGAAGGTGGCGGAGCGCGTTGTCAGCCGCGATGGCGTTCGTCTTCAGGAGAGGTCGCGAAAGACCCTTCGTGAGTACCGCCTCGGGCAGGCGCCGAGCTCTGCGTAGCAGTTACTGCAGATTGTCCCCTAGGAACTATGGAGTTCTAACCACGGCCCCGCCCCAAACCCCAGCCGCGTGTCTGAGGGTGCTGTCCGAACGCGCTCGGGCTCCGGCAGCTTAGGGCAGCGCGCAGCGCGCAGGGCGCGAGGCAGCAGGCGGTGCGCAGGGTGCTGCCGGTGCGGGGCTCTGCACAGCTCCCTGGAACGCAGCAATCGTTCCCCGTTTTCCTGTTAATTATCCCGTTGGAGAAGATACAGAAAAATTCTCCATTTAAAAAATCTGCTGTTCAAACCTCATCAGCATTTTTTTTTCTTCCCTATTCAGTCTGAGCCTTTATGCTGAGCCTTTATGACTCTTGAAGGACAAGTCTTATGAGACTAGTTTAGTGATAGCGCTTTCTTCATCTCCTACGGCAGCGACCACAGGTTTCAAACCTCTTGTACAAAACAGGGAATAATAATTGTTACTGCGAAGTAAGGTTCAAATAATTTGAAGTAAATTAACATCTGGTGCCTTTCTTGTCTATGTACGAAAATAAGACTTTAAATGAGTATATTGCAATTCTGATTTTGCAAATAGTGATGTAATGAGTGGAGAAGCTGCAGTCACTGGTATACAGTTGTTGTAAAGTACATTTCTAACCTTCATTCATACTATTCATACGTGCTCTGAAGTTACATTTAAAACCATTTCAAGTTTTCTGTTCACATTAATTGCATGTGAACGTTCTTGCCTTCTGTATTATTTTGTGAAGTTAGTTTTTGTGCATGTTCGGTTCTGTACTTTATTCATTGTTATCCTTAAATTCATTGCCAACTAATTTTATTTTAAATTGTTTAGAAACACATAGCTCATGGCCTGGTCCCTGCTGCCACCATAGCTCCTAAACCTGCAGTTCCCCGCACCCCTCCCCCTCGTAGCCCAAACCCTTCTCCAGAAAGGCTCAGGTAGGTTTTGAGTTGTTTCTTTTTTTTGTTTCATCAATTGCAATAGCGCTCTAGGAATGCATGATGAGCAGAGCTGTTGTAGCGTTTACGTAAGCCTTCTCACAAATGAATGTTTTTAGGCGGAGCTGTTCTCAAGTACGATAAGCAATTAAGACAATTACCTTTCTATATAACTTATAAATCTGAGTCAATCAAAGACAAATGGACTTTTCAAAGCTAGGGCCATTTCTAAATTGGATGCTACAGTGCAGGACTGTAGGTGTGTTAGTACCATGAATGAAGAACTTTCTACTCCTTAGAAAAGCTACGTTAAACATTACTAACCTGCCATTCTATTGCAATTATCAACAACAACAAAACAGGGACTTAAAAACTTGTATGCAAGACCCCTGCTAATCCGAATTAGCAAAGCAGGCAAGTAGTACAAAGGGAAAATAGGAATTTAGTTTCATTTATAGTACTTTACAGTTTTTCTTCTTTGATTTCTCTGCATTTAATTCACTTCTGGTTGTTTTCTGTGTGTTCTTGCTTCTGTCCATATTATTCCTGGTCAATTGCAGTTCATTTCTTCTTTTTGATCTCCAGCTGCTGCCATTCCTGTTGCAACCCTCATCATTTGATCTTCATTCCCATTTCTTTTTCATCTTTATCTTACTCCACTCTGCTCTGCAGCATCCCGCTAGCAAGCACTTCCATCTACTTACACTTGCACTAGTTTGTAACGCTTCAGCATTTATGCACAGCTTCACAGCCATCAGTAATGACATCAACAATTCTGTGTAGTTTTCTCCTGGGAAGCAGGAGACAAAATAGCAAAATATGGAACAGTTTTTCAACCTGCCTCCATGAACTGTTATTAGGACTGAAGTGAATGCTAAGTACTGTACATTTTTGGTGTGAATTTTGGAAATGTAATTCAGTATATTATTTCTTTTTCATGCATTTGAAAAACTTATTAGGTATTTAAACTGTACTCTTAGATTGCACTCATTAGAGTGCATTGTTAGAGCACACCTGGTTTTGTGCGTTACCTTGGAGTTAACTGGTTTAAATCCGGTCCCTTTGCAATGTTAGCATTATTTTTTAACTTTGAACTTCTGGCTTTTCTTAAATAGTGAAGACATTTTACATTGGAAGAGGATATAAGGTGTGCAGCACAGAGATGACGTTAGTACTGTATTGTTTCTTTTCTTCTATTTTCTTCCAGATCTGCTTTAGCAGCAGCTATCCTTGCAACAACACTGACAGGGCGCACGGTTGCTATTCCTCAGCCTCGGCAGCGATCACTTTCTGAAGGTGATTCTGCCCACGCAGAACAGGAGGGCTTTGAACCATATGCTACAGTCACAGAGCTCAGAATGGGGTAGCGTATGCTTTGTTTTGCTCTCTGAAATTAGAAATGAAATCTTCCAATGAAATAATTTTAACCAAGAGTTACTGAGAACTAATTCAAATCCTTAAACCAGTTTACTTCATAAATTAAGTCCAAAGTCCACAGCTGTTATTCTACTTCTCATACAGTGATGTATACCATCCCCAGAGAGGGAGGTCTGGATTGTACAGCTACTGCACATAAAAACATATTATTTCTGCCAAATGCTTATCAGTTATACAGTTAATCATCGAAGAATCATCTGGATTATATAAGGTAATTCCTTTGTGCTAAATTATTATTTCAGGCTATTTTTGCTGTAGAATTAGCAGCCTTTGATCTCTAGTGTGGTATTTTCTTTAAACTAGAGAAGAAAACAGTTTTGGTGTTGCCTGTTTTAAAGCATGTGCATAACTTAGGCTACTTGTTTGCAGTTAAAGCTTACATATTTGTTTCTGCTGTTGGACTGGTGTACATTCTCTGACAGATGACTCTACTTTACTGGCACTTAGCAACATTGAAGCAGGCTTTGAACTGTTTTCTACTTACAGGCCTAACTGGAAACTTGATGGCAGTGACAGATCTCCTGTGCAGTCACTGGAAATAACAGGCAGTTACTGTGAGGATGAGGACATGGAAACCTATCTTTCAGATGCTGGCAGAGAGGCAGAGGCAGAGTCCAGCTCTGAGAGTAATGAGAAACATGGAGAAAGCTTTAGCACCAGTGCGATTTATGCAGTTCCCTGTAAAAACAAAAAGGTAGTATTTTTAATCAGTTAATTCCTTTACTGTATTGTAATATATTAGTGTGAATATTAAGTATTACTATAGCTTGTCATTCTCTTACTATTTACTTATTTATTCCATTTTTATTTACATCTTCTCACAATCAATTTACTCTTAAACATGCTAAGTTTGTTTGTTGATCCTCACATATTCCTTATATAGTTATTAGCACATTTTTCTTAATAGGAAATCACTGATATTATTGCTCTTACTACAGATTTAAAGGAAGTATATGTTTTAATCTGGTAAAGTGTGCAATATTTTACTAAGAGCGTGATACTTAAATACTTAAATAATACTAATTATATATACCAATATTTTACTAAGAGCGTAATACTTAAATACTTAAGTACTTTTAGGCGTAGTGAAAGCTCAGTAATTGATTCAGATCCTGCTAAGGAGCAGGACCCATTCAGAGAGAAGAACATTCAGAATCAAACAGAAGACATGACCTTGTGTCTTAAAGACCAGTGGATCTTTGTGTGTTTAAAGCACGGAAGCAGCTTCAGTTTGCATCTTTGTCCAAAGTGCTACAAAAACAGAAGCAACTGAGTAGTACAGAAGGAATACAATGCTATGTTTGTGAAAGGAATTGGAAAACACACTGAAGTGAAGAGACAGTAATTAGGGAGAAGAGAGGAGAGGGAAGAAGGGGTGTGTTGCATACTGGGATGTTGCTACGCAATCAACAAGGGAAAACAGCTAAGACTGCTAAAAATTACTCATTAATTGTTTGAGTACTGTGATGTCGTAAATGGCAGAGCTTTTTTAAAGAGTAAGTTTAGATATAGAATGGCCTGGATTGGAAAGAGCCCTAAAGCCCACCCAGTTCCAAGTCCTTGCTGTGTCAGGGCTCCCCCCACCAGCTCCGGCTGCCCAGGGCCCCATACAGCCTGGCCTTGAATGCATCCAGGAATGGGGATCCACAAAGACTAGCTTCAGGGCAGGTAAGACTGCACTGGGCAGGGGATCTGAAGCAAAAAAGGCTGACAAAATCGACAGATCGTATGATCCAAGTTGTCCACCTCCTGCTGGTTGTGTTAAGGCTATATTTTATGTGTAGTCCTGAAGCCAAACATTATGTTGTTTCATTTATTATCTTAAAATTCTAGGGTATAATTCTAAATGTGACTAAGACATTATTATAGTGAAGGTTTCATACACATATCAAGATGCTCTGTCATGGGCTATTTTAACAGTGTTATGATTTAGACAGGCTTGTCTTATTTATATACAGGAAGAGTTTCAACCATCTCCTACTAAAAATGCTAAGAAGAAGGAAACATCTCATGAAAGTCAGTTTCAGGTGTTGGCGGATGAGTCAAACACGCATTCTGAAGGTAAATAAGTTTACTGTAAGGCAAAATGCCTTACCATTTAATATCATGGGAGAAAATTTTTGAATAACCTAAATTTAATATGATAATGATATATTCCCTTAAAAAAAAAAAAAAAGAAATGTTACGAAGTAGCCACTTCTAGTAGTTACAGAAAAATAAGAATTTGTGTAGAGGGAAGATTGTTCCATATCCACTCTATAATGAAACTCTTAAACATCTATTAACAGTCAGCTTTAAAAACAAAACATCTAAATCGAGCAATAAGCTCTGTCTGGTCTACCACATCTCTGATATGTGTGCCAGAATCAAACCATTTTATTCTCTGAATGCTACTGGAATGTTATGGTACTCAAAGCTTTAATAGAAGAAAAAAACCCAGACGTTCTAGCAACTACCAATGTTAGAAGGGTTAAGTAGGTAAAAAGAAAATATCTTTAGTCAGTCATTTTTCTTGGACTAAGAAAATGACATGTCTGAAAATCAGCTGTAAGAACACTTTTCTGAAAACATAATCTTGTTTCTTCCATGATTGTATTTATACAGTGTGAGTGGTAAAGTAAGGTATCACATCAGTATTCTAATAAACCACTAAGGGGATTTTAGAAGGACTTTCTTGTGCTTATTTGCAGTACATAATGTGTACTTAAGTATCCATATGCACGCTTAGAATTTACAGGCTTACCAATATTTCATTCTTAATTAACCCACAGATCTGCTTTTCTTTAACAGAGAACAAACAGCTTGGCTTGAATTCAAAGGTAAGACTTATAAGAAGGTTTATTTGTGACGCATTATGTAAAATATTGTGCTCTGGTGTTATAAAGAGCTGCCACTTTACAACTATCTTTTATGACTATCCTAGAGTCTCTCATACGAACTAAAAAGAGGGAGCAAAATTCAGACTGTTAGGACAAGAAACCTGGTTTATTTTTAAAGCCATTATGGAATTGTTTTGAGAACTGTCCATCTCTGACAATGAAAGAAAATACTATTTCAGGTGTTCAGGAGTGAGCAGTAACAGTAGTAAGTAACAAGATGGCGAGACATAAATGACAAGTGCAGCAGTGAGTTCAACCTTCAACTTTACTGATACCAAAGAATTGTTTCAAAAGTTCTGTTTCTTAAGTTCTCTAGCACTGATACTGTTCAGTGTGTTTCAGATACAATAACTCAGAGCAAACTGTCTCTTTTTTGTTATTTCCATGGTAGGAAGAAAAATCATTAGCTGAAAGTCCTATCCGGGAGAAGCCTCCACCATCCCCAGGTACTTCTGATTTTTCTGTGACGTTACTGCAGATATTCACTTTAAAGAATGCATGTTTATAAAAATACATTTTCCAGCTTATACTCAGTAAGCCTAATTCATGAAAAAATATATTTCTCCTGCACAGATAAAAAAAATACTGTGTTGTGATATGTATTAAAACATTAGTTCTAGTTTTTTTATGTTGGGTATTTAATTTGTTTTTATTTTCCAATCTAAGTGATAAGCAATGTCATGAAATGAAAGTTATAACGGACTTCTTTAGTCCCCTAAGTTTCATCTATGTTAAAGACTGTCACCATTACTAAGCGTCTCACTGCAACTGAACTGGTTGACATGAGGTGTGTGGGCTGTCTGCAGCTCCTGCTGTTAGATTGTGCTGTCTCTTGAACTCTGTCATTAATGGTGAAATTGCAGCTTTTATTTTAATAGGTAAGCTGTTTAGTCCATATGGCAGGAAAGAAAAAAATGAAGTAGATCCCTTATTGCTAATGCAACGATGTATCTGTATTCCTGCAGAGAATCTAAAGTTTTACTTTTTGAGGACTGTGAAGTAGCCTCTGTGCATAACAGAACACTGAAACTTGTTCAGTAGGAAGAAGAGCAAAGCTTTAACTACATACTTGATTAAAATAAAAGGGGGCACAGGAAGATCAACTAACCTATGCAGACATGGACATTGCTTCCTGCAGTGCCTATTTCTGTCTCACCACTCTGATTACCCGTGTTAGAGAGAGGAAAATCCACATGCATTTTCCTTGTGCCTTACAGAAAGTTGTTTTTGTTTTTTTTTTTCCCCCAGTGCCTCAGAGAAAACGGAGCCCCTGCTCTGTATAGCTCTTCCCACACACCTTCTACATTCTTTCTTACCTTAATCCTCTGGAAGCCATTAGTTGATTTATATATATATATATATATATATATATATATATATATATATATATAT